TCTAAAAAGAAAACAAAGTAATTTGGTCTCTCTGTTCTTTCGAAGACTTTTGAGAATAAAAATCTTGAAATGTTAATTCAAAAACAAAATACATAATCTATTCGGTATTTCATACCGAGGATTAAACGAGAATAAAACTTTAGTTCTTAGACTTTATTCCTTTCCATATTCCCTTTCTATTTCCCGACTCGACAAAATCTTGTATTTTTCCGGGCAAGATTCTGTCGTTTGTCTTGAATTTATTCGGAGAAACGGTCCCGAGCTACGTCACAAACTATTTCCGTCCCACGGAGAAGCGGCGTCTCCAAAATCTCTCAGCCGATCGGGACCGGGAAAGTTACTGCGGAAAGTACCTGCGACGTATCTCAGCCGTCGTGATTGTCGGCGGCGAGCATTGAAAAATTTCGTCGTGGCAGACACGTGAGTGCACGTGGGACGTCCGCAGCGACGGAGCGTGGGTTCGTCTTCGAGGTATGTCAAGGAAAACGAGTGTGTGTGCCGGAATGATGCCGGACGATATTGGAAAACGTGGCGGAGGAGGCCTTCGCGGTAACGTGCCGTACAATGAGACGCACGCGTGTACATACGTGATCATAATGCCGAATGATCTCGCTGATTGCGAGCCTAGCGTGACACCTCGAGGACGCGAGGGCTTCTCGAGCACCGAAAACTGAGTGGAAATTAAAGTGAGACTCGTAGCTTCGGCGGTGTCTAATCGGCGAACCGCGCAAAAGTGCCGCGTGATATCGATGGAGTGAGAATTCGAAGAGGACTCGTTCATTTATCTTCACTCTCACGACTTTGTAATTTCATGACAACTTTTTCAGAATCCGTTTCAGTATCCGTTCTATTTAAAGAACAATTGGTTGGTCGAAAAGTTTCGTTGGACTTTCACTGGACGAATCATTTGTCTCCAACAATTCGAACCGAACTTTTTGATTGGACTGATTGACCCGATGGAAAATCCTACGTTTTTTTTTAATTATTATCTGTCTTGTAAGGTTTTTTTTTTTGCTTTGCTTATATTATTTTTTACGACTTCTATCTGCCTCGAGGACACATTTTGATACATCAAAGTCTGTCGAAGGTAAAGGATGCAAATCAACGAGGCCTTGTGAGGTCAAGTTTTCAAATGGGCTCTTCGAGGCTAAGGCTCGTCGCTAATTCATGGATTGTGAGACCGCCGAAGAATTTATTATTTGCGTTAAATTTTGCAAAGATGTTCAAGTTGTTAGATTTCAGCGATGCTGTTAAAAAAACAGACGGTCTCCTATAAAGGAATTTATTATTCACGTTAAATTTTGCAAACACGCTCACATAAGCTCAAGTTGAGACAAAGAGAGAGAGAGAGAGAGAGAGAGAGAGAGAGAGAGAGTCACATAGTTTCTTACATATGTATAGATTCTCTGTATGCGTAATAATCTCCGTTAATTCGCTTTCATTATATTCAAATAAAGTCAGATACTGAAAAATTCAACTGAACGTTTTCCTACCGAGAGAACGCAACAGCAGGAGCCTCGCGTGATGAGTAAAATCATTATTTACAGTGAAAGTATCACAAAGTCGCTACATGCTTCTGTGGAGCCGGCGACAACTGCCGCTACAAGAGCTGTTAATGACGTTACAAATGATCTTTCGTGATAGCAAACAGGATTTTAAAGAAGTTCGTTCGGGGCGATCGACGGTGGCCGAGACGCGTAGAAAGTGGTACATCTCTCCTTCTCTAATTTGTAAGCCGCCGGACGAAAATGAATTTGAGTTTGCTCAATGGGCACTCTCTCAATGGGAACTCAATTAGCCGGGGCGGCGGACGTTCCGTAGTTGGAGATGTTTGCGTTAGAGCGCTCCGTGCGGCGCACCCGGCGAAAAGCCGGATGTTGACCCTTCCGAGTTAAAAGAGAAATTCGTTGTGTGTGATTCGTGCCTGAGGACCGGCGAGACTTCTCTCTTCGCTCGATTCGACGTCCGGCTCGAGCAGATGCTGAGACAATCACGTGAGAGCACAAATGCACAAATCACGAGTCGTGACGGCTCGTAAACCGGCAAAAAGCGATCGCCGAGTTGTACTTCCTGACCTTATCGGCGCCTCTTAGGCCTTATAGTAGCAGCAGCTCCTTCACACAGTCCCTACAAATTCGCATAATAACTATGTTTTCACCGTGCAAAGCGCACCTCATCGTGGCGTCGCGATAAAGAATGCGAAGGGGAAACGCGAACGAGTCGCTCTCGCGTTTTCAGCACGGAGTCGCGCTGGAATAACGCGGAATCACGCGTTATTATTTCGTCGCCGAGCGGTCGCTGCGAACAAAAATTGCCATGAAATTACACGGTCGGCGCCGCGCGAGGGGAGGATTGAGGGTCGCGCGAGCGCGATTTGTCCCGGCTGCGATAATACCATGAGGCGCGAGTTAATACGCTATATTAGTCACGTGCTGCATTCAAGGAAACTGCAATTTCTCTCTTTCTCCGCGCGGTTTATGCGTTACTATGGGCCACACTTACCTACTGATCCATATTACTCGCGGCGATGCCTCATGCCGCTCGCGAGAAACCGAAAGGTCGGGACCTCTCAGACAAATACAGCCGAGAATCGGTGGTCCCCCGGTAATTTTCTCAATTTTAAGTATCTCCCGTGAGATACAGGAAAAGAGAGAGAGAGAGAGAGAGAGAGAGAGAGAAATAAAAATGGCCGGCGGCGGGGGGAAAAGAGGAATATCGCGTGTCTGTAATAACGATGTGTTTTCGATCGTCCGTCTCGGTGATTCGCGCACACCGTAAATCACCGCGTATCGCCGAGTGTACGCCGAACTGATAATCGATTCAAGGCGAAAGAGATCAAAGAGATTTCGTCGGCCAGAGAAACGTGGTATCTGCGGGCAGGATAGGACGTTACCACAGGTGTGCATCGCCGTCACTTAACCGATCGACTTTCACTGGCGGGTCTCTGAACTCTCCGCGGCCTCTCACGAACGTCTCTTCCGGCTCGGCCCGACCGGCCCGCGCGCGCGCGTTCGTGAACTTGAAAATTAAACCGGCTGCGAGCCGCGTCGGCGAAGTTTCGCGAATCCCCCGGAATTTCGTGATGAGAGACTCAAGCGCGGTCGGTGACTGAAATTCGAGACTTCGCGCGAAGTGCGTTTTGCGCTTTGGTGATTTTTCCGGAAAGGGACGATCGGGGGGGATTTCGAAGAGAGTCGAGGCTCTCTCATTTTCTCGATTCGTGCACAAGTAGCAGAGATTGAAAGAAGAGAGACGGAAAGTGACACGAGTCGATGCGAGAGCGGCCTCGTTTGGAGAAAAAGTTCGTTCATTCTTTTGTTTCGACTGTGCGCGCAGTTTATTGCAATTACAACGAGGCTCTCCAGCAGTCGTTGAGGGACACGGTCGCGCTAAATGTGCTTCGGCAATTAAACGAAAGCGTTGTTTCAGGAGAAAAAAGGCAGAAAGCCATGAGACGAGAGACCGGGAGGATCTTGACCAGAGAATTATAATATTTAAAAATTCAGAATAGCGGCGAGCCGAGAGAGACATGAGAAGCTGAATGTGCCTGCAGAATATAAATTATGTATTCTAAGAGTCGATAAATCCGAGAGATCTGAGGATCCGAGACACCGCAGGAATGAAATCAGCGTCGTTACGCCAGACGTTGAAAAACCGCGAAGAGCTCCGAACAATCTGGCAACTTGCGGAGATTCGTGAACGCGAGATGCATGAAAGCGCCAAGAGCCAAGTGCCAAGAAGCAAAGTGCGAGATACGAAGACCAAGAAAGTACCAAAAGGAGAAGAAACAGCGGAGATAAAAGCGCGACGGCCGGGTCCAGTCATCGTCCCGAATGTGCGAATCCTCTTCCGCGCGATGACTCGTGCAATTGGAGCGAGTGGAAGTGTCGCGTTACATTTTCGCGAGTTATCTTGCGTGGTGTAAATAAAAGTCGCTACATTAATTCATCGAGATACGTGAGAGCTCTCCTATTTGTCTCTCGACCGGTGACATGCGTTTTCGCGTACGGCGCTCTTGCGTGCCTGCCTCAATCAGTGGAATATTGGTGTTAATTTTAACAAACAAAATGTTAACAAAGAATGTCCTTCCATCAAAATACTTCGCGATAAAAGGCATACAAATTATGTACTTGTTTGCATCTGTTGGTCCCGACAAACAGTGTCTCTGACATTTGCATCGAGAACCGAAATCGGTTTAAAAATGCATTTAAATACTGGTCTTCTCTCTCTCTCTCTCTCTCTCTCTCTCTCTCTCTCTCTCTCTCTCTCTTCCCTCTCTTTCCCTCATCCTCTCACATATTCGTGAGAACGAAGAGCGCGAGGGAACGAAACGAAAAGAAGACAAGATTTTCTGCCGGTTAAGGCACAGTTTTCTCGCCGCCGCAGCGCCACGCCGCTCGCTCGCTAAATCTCGCACGGAAATCATCACCATCACCGTCGCCATCATCATCATCATCATCATCATCATCATCATCATCATCATCATCATCATCATCATCATTATTATCATCATCGTCGTCGTCGTCGCCGGTTATTGCGATCGCAATTACGGATGTAATTTGTAATCGACCGACAATCGCATCTGTAATTCGCGATTAGTAACGGGGCTGATTGCCGTTTCATCCGTTTCCCCGCGCGACGGCGCGGCTATTTCGCGAGAAGAGGAGGACCGGCCGGCCCCCGGAAGGACCGCGCGAGGACGTTTCGCGCCGCCACGGAAGAAGGCGAAGGCGGGCGCGAGAAGTAGGTCGGAGAGAAGTCGCGCTCCTACGTCGCTCCTACGTCGCTCGGGCGCACGAGGAGCCGCCGGCTGAGCGCCTCCGTCAGTCTCGCGAAGATATTCCGGGAGTCAACAGGTGCGCAGGAGCAGGCCCTCTCGGACGTCGGTCTTCTCTCTTCCGCTTCTCTCGCTCGCGCTGTCGCTCTTTCTTTCGGTCTTTTTCTCTCTCTTGCTCTCTCTGTCTCTCTCTCTCTCTCTCTCTCTCTCTCTCTCTCTCTCTCTCTCTCTTCTCCTTCTCGACACTCTCTCGCCATCGCTCTCGTATTCCTCTAATTCTTCGCCTTGAGAGAGAGATTCCTTCTTTTTTCTCTCTCTTTTTTTGAGAGGAGACCTCCCGGTAATCGCGACGTTCTTCCGAAGATTCGCTACGGGATCACTCTCGCGGCGATTTTCGCGGATCTTGCGGTCCTGAGAAGAGGACGAAGAAAAGGACGAAGAAGAAGAAGAAGAAGTAGTCTTCGCTGCTTTGGTGTCTTTGCACTTGGTGTCTTTTGCCGGTATTGGTCATTTCCTCTTGGAAACTGCTAGGAAGGAGATCTGGGGGACATGACGACGACGGGGAGATTCGAGGTAAGGTTTCCCGATTTTCGCGGACCGCTAATTATAAATGTGAAGCGTCGCGCGTTGGAAAGCATTGAAATGTGTTTTTTTATTGAAAATTGTGCGAATTTTTGATAACCGCTAGACGGGAAAATCTGGACCGCAAAACGGTCCAAATTTTTTGCTCGTCCTCGAACGTGATTATTGAACGTTCGGCGGTAATCGATGAATCGACACTCGCCGCGATGCGGAGGAAAAAGTTCGTTGAGGCCGAGTCGAAATTTTGATCGCTTTTTTGCGACCGAACTGCCTAATCGATTCTGAAGAATCAACGGGGATTTAATTTATAGAGAAACTGGAGTCGTATTCAGTGCCCTTAAATGGTAGAAAACGCTCGATTTGCCACCTGTAGGTTTCTGAGAGAATTTCTCGGTGAAACTGTGAGTTAAATGCAATAGAAAGAGGTTGATACAGGCTTCGGACTGTTAAATTAGCCTTAAAAGGAAGTTGTTAAGATCGATAATGAAATCAAAGTTTCAACTTTGCAATTAACACGAGAACGAAACGCGAGCCAGACGCGTCCTGGTCGAAGGAATCCAAAATTTTTGGTAGTTAGATTCGAATTTGGTTCGCAAGATGCAACAATTACGTTCACCTCGACGAAAACGTGTTTCATTTGTCCGTCGTCGCGTTAATTCAACCAATTTTTTTCTTCCGTGCACAGAAGAAAGAGCCGCCCGCCGGTCTCGCTCGGATCTCGTCTTCTGCTTCGACAAGCCGATGATACTTTTACTTCCACGGAACACCCACGGGACATTAATGATTTCACACATAATTTCTCTCTCTCTCTCTCTCTCTCTCTCTCTCTCCCCCTCTTTCGCGAGATTCATGAATGGGACTTTGGTAAAACCAAAGCGACGTGTGCTATGATTAATTAACTCGCGCGAAGTAACGGATTAGTCTTCGCGCTCGTGTTACGTCACACACACACACACACACACACACACACACACACACACACACACACTCTCACATACGTATACATTAATCGTCCTCGACTTGCCTTCGTTCACGATCATTGTATATGAATAACGAACCGTGAATGTGTGACTTTGTGCGCTCGATGTTATCGCGTGAAATCCAAAGGCCGTGCTTCGATCCGCGATCGATCGGCACGCGCGACGAGGACGATCGATCGATCGCGATCGGTCGGCGGCGAGGCTCGTGGGCGGTTTCCGGATGAGTCAACGTCGCGCATCGCCGGCGGATATTGGAAGGGAAAAGGGGCAGAAAGAGGAGAAAAAGAGGAACTAGATCGGCTTAATTGCCGTGCAATTAACGTCGACCCGCGAACTTTCTGGAGCGGAAACCGCAGGGTGACATGCATCGGTGCCACTCCATGTGCGCGCCTGTGTGCGATTCCGTGGCGCTTTAATGTAACGCATTGTCGTCCATCGGGCGAATTAACTCGCCGAGATCTATTATGCTGTCTGCAACAATGAGAATTCAGTCGAATCGGCTGTCGCCGCTACGCCACGCTGGCCTCTTTGTTCGGGAGTAATTCGGCGTTGTTTGATTATGGGAAGCTGCTTCTCGAACCCATCGATGAAAAGAGAGAGAAAAAGGGGGGAGGGGTAGGTAGAAGGGGGAGAAAGTGTGGGAGATATTAAATATACCATTTTACATAATAGCGTGCGATATGTATGACTGGAAAACAATACCGACTTGAATATTCACAAACTGACGATGATCTAACGCCGTTGTGAAAGATTCTTATTCAACGGCAGGATAATGAAATGATTTCTTACTTGTTAGAGATCTGTGAAAAAATATCATCCGACCGCTGGCGGATTTTATTGCCCCGAGGGATGAGTCATCTTGCAGACGCGGAGACTTTCCTGAAAGGCAGAAATTATCTGCAGAAAGTGATGGATAACGGTGTCGGCTATTTTGATTGTATACGGCACACATGTGCGGTTTCATTGCTATTAATAAAGGATACACGGCCAAAAAGTTGGACGGACTTTCGGACAAGTCCTCAATATTCTCTCCGTTGAATTGGACAATTTTGTCGTCTCTGGATTAATTCTTCGAAACCAAACTCATGTTGCTCTCTCCATCGACTATTTCTGAGAAAATATTATAAATAAACTGAAGTCTTTTCACGAATGTGAAAAAGATGTAGCATAATTAAAACACCAGACGTTCATACCTTCCAACAGAATCGACTTTGTGTATTTAAAACTCGCCTGTTATCAACTTATTAATTTATTTTCACAATGAGATTGTTTTCGGCCACCAATTGGCACATTCACCTTCTGACGATTGATTAATTTTCATCAATGCCGCCTGGAAATTTTTATGTCCACCATATATACGCACACATGTAATGCTCTTACCGTCTCTACGTCTTCCAATTCTAACCGAATTATTTATTAATGAATTTAATTTTTAATTACTACAAATAATTTAAATAATTAATTAATTTAATTAATTAATTTTTTTTTCTTTCCTTTTTTCTTTTTTTATTTTGTTTCTTTATCTTTGTATGAAAATCTTCTTACTCGTTATATTATTGTCTCAACTACTATGTATGAAAGGGGTCAGACCCGTATATTATTAACAATAAATAATAATAATAATTAAATTTGAAAATACTGCGGGCGTTGTTCAATTTCCACTGAAATCAGACAACTTTCCAACCGATCGTCCGACCGCGGTTGGTCGTCGTTGAAATTTCCTAACGAGTCGGGCACGCACGCGCGTACAAAAGGAGCGGCTGGCTGTTCGCTTCGTTATTGTGTCAGGCATCGATGATACGAGTAGTTGACAATCGGTGATCGAAAGTCACCGGGATGGAAAAAGTGGATCGTCTCGCACGCATACGCGCGTACAGGCAGAATACGCATCGCGGCCGAGTAGAGGAGTTAAAGAACGCGCGGTTGTGTGTTTCGCGCGAAACGCGCGCGCGGGGAAAGCATGTCGTTCCATTTCACTTGCCGGCGGAGCGTGCTCGCGGTCCAGCCACCTTTCACGATTTTATTTCAGTTTACCGGCTTTTCGTCCTAAAGCGTACAAGCGTACATAGCTAGTGAGCGATTAGAAAGTATTTTTTCCTCGTCGCGCGAGAGACACGAAGACGAGAGACGAGATGGAGAGACAGAGAGAGAGAAAGAGAGAGAGAGAGAGAGAGAGAGAGAGGGAGAGAGGGAGAGAGAGAGAGAGAGAGAGAGAGAGAGAGAGAGAGAGAGAGAGAGAGAGAGAGAGAGAGAGAGAGAGAGAGGGAAGGAGACGGACGAGTACACGACGCCGCGAATTTCTCGTTAATAGGCGCCTTGGGCGCTCCGATGTTCAAAGTTACGCACGAAAGTGCACGCTAATCGCGCGTGCATAATTCGAGAATTCGCACGACGCGCGAGGATCGCTCGCGTCGGCGTGGCGTCCGCGAGCGCGCGCACGTGGGAGAGGCGCGCGCGTAATTCCCATCAGGACTGATCGTCACTTTGGTAATAGAAAGTAACCCGTCGCCTCGGTTACTGCATTGCTATTTTCTAATCGCGGGAAAGAATGCCGACAATTTCCACGAGCTATTAAATTTCTCTCGTCGCGCGAGCGCCGCCGGCGTTGCCGCCGCTCCGATGACACGGCCGATTCGCTCGTCGTCACGGATAGCGTGCCGCTCTCGGCGAAAATCCGCGCCGTCGCGCGGCGCGGCGCGTCGCGTTGTCGTTTTCCTAGCGATTTTTGGTCGCCTGGAAGTGATTATGCGTTGACCTCTAACGGCCAGCGTTAGGTGGAGGGAGGCATGCGAATAAACTGAGAATGTATAAGCCTTCGGCTGATGTTACGACTGACGTTTCCTCTCGTTATTCCTCGCGACGTTAATTCCCGTTTAATTGAATGCTTGGGATTTTTCTGTCGTCGTGGTGTAAAAATAAATGGAGGCTAACGTTGGACGGAGGTATGCTCGTAAACGTTCCGATGGCAATTTGGACTCTCTTCTCGACGTGAATGAACAGAATTGAAATGTCAATTGGTCGTGTAAGCGCGGACACATGCACAGAGACGGAGCATAGGGACGTCACGAGTTTATAAAATTTGAAGAGCGAGAACGTATGTCGCAATGCACGATGCATCAGTCCGAGGCGCTTGCTTCTTGTTTTATTCGGCGTTCCTCGACTTTACGTCGCCTTTTGTAGGTTCGCTTATTTTAACTTTTTCATCGCGTATCACGCGACCTTTCTCTCTGTTTAACCTCTTCGCTACGGGTGTCAACCATAGCCATTCAGTGTTCACATGTCATTGATAAAGTGACTCGATATCTCGAAATAATCTTTCATCCGTCTGCTGACAGCAATTTTACACGTATCGATATCCAGCTACTTACAAGTGTCACGGATTTACCAAAATTGCAAGGCGAATCGTTTGCTGTAAATTGGCTTGCAATAAATTAGACCCGAGGAATTCTTCGTGTTCTTAGTTTACTTACATGTCCCGATCTAAAACGTTGGCTCCGGCTTACAGTTGCTACATTTTGATTGTGCATCGCGTCGTCTATTGAATTGATTTCTTCCGGATATTTTCGCTGTATGCGCAACATTTCTTCGCTCTCATCTTTTGCTCCATTATCCCCTCCTACCGTTGGTTCGCATTGCATATCCTTTCGCACGTCGCGAATGCAAATGCTTGCGCGATCGCGGGCGAGTTGCGTATTTCTAGAAACTCGTAAGGCCAACTTTCGAAAACCTTTTCAAGCTCATTCCGCATGCCGGGCGCCTACGCCGCGCTTCGATCGTCCAGGCGCAATCACGTACGTACGCAACATCGGATGCATGTGCACGCGCAAGAGTTACGACGCGTGTCGCCTCGTGTCGACGACGAAAGTTAGCCGCCCTCGGCCGGACTCGGGAATGCTTGCTTGGAAGTTCCTCGAAATGTCCAGATGGATCTCAATTCGCCTCGGTTTCAGGCGGTCTCGCTGCTGCTTCTCGCAATCACGGCGTTTGGCGCGTGCGATGGCGAGTTACCTAGGCCGAGCTACACCCGGACGATGCTGAAGGTCTCCCGAAGTCTGCCGGGCGAGACGGAGGAGCTGAAAGTTCGCACGAGCGAGGGCACCCTCGCCACCTTGATCGTGAAGCGGCGAGATAAGTCGTCAGTCAGCTTCGATGATTCCAAACCGACGCCGCAACTCCCTCAGGAAGAATCCAACGGCACTGCGGAGACCAATAGCAACTCCACGAGGCCCGATGACGACAAAAGCGACGCCGAGAAGAAGAACGAAGCCAGGAGGCTCGAGGAGGCGCAGGTGGAGCAGATCAAAGCGACGTTCTCCAAGTCCTCGGGAGCGAAGGATGTAAAACTCGACAGAAATCAACCTGATCGACCTGTCAGCCTGATCGACTACGGAAATTGGACGCCTCTGGACGCGGACGGCAGAGTTTTGAAGCAGGAACAGCCGAAGGAGGGACAGGATAAGGAGGTGGAGGAGTATCGAAATTGGAAGCCGTTGCAGACGAGCCCGGAGACCGCGGGCGAAGAGAGCCTTAACTACGACAGGTTCAACGAGGCCGGATTCACTGGCGGAATCCTGTTCGCCAGGCACTTCCAGGATCGGAGCCAGAGGAACCTTGAGCTTGAGGATCGTGACGACAAGAACGAGCGGGCACTTTATTACACATACGTGCCACGGCAGTCCCGGCCACTGACGAGAACGAACATCGGTGCGAACCTGTCGAAGAACCGCGATGGCAAGGCCGTGCCGCCGGAGGTGGTCATCAGGTCGGAGATCAACGTGAAGACGGTACCGAAGAGATCCACCTTATCGTTGGACAGCGACGGCACGCCGGTTATTCATGGCACGAGGGTGCCCGACGAGCCCATAGACAAGATACAGACCTGGAGGAACGCCCGGGTTATCAACAACAAACTGGTAGCCGAGGGCAGCCCGACGCCCGCCACCGAAGCCACCGTCGGGATCCCGTATTCCAATGACAACCTGGAGAAGAAGCTGCGCTTCGAGAAATTCTTCAAGGACGTCAATCGAAGGTGAGGTGGGAGACGATTGGACAAGCACGAGTGGGTCGAAATTAATATTTTGTCATTGTCAAAGTGCTCACACGTTAGTCTTGATGAGATTTGGCGTGTTGCAGATTTACTGAAGATGAGGGTGACGAGGGTGGAGAAAATGAGAGGTTAAGGATGGAGGAAAGTCCTCGAGAAGGACGTTTGATAAACTTCATTGTGAGCGAATAGCTTCGAAACTATGAGATATGCATGAGGAGATATCAATAAGAAAATGTTCCAAAGATTTTCTATGGTATCAACTCGATAATTACGAATATAATTATTAAATTTCTAAAAAAACTATAAAAAGGATCTTTATTTCTTTTAATTTCTTTTTATTGTTTTATTGCTCTCTATCTTTAAAACTTTTCCATGCCAGCACAGCTGGCATTTCGAGTTGCCGCAATAAGTGTTCATGCCAGCTGCGCTGGCATACCGAGTGCAAAGGGTTAATATATATTTTATATTCTTATTTCACACATTTTTAAATTACACATTTGTTTTTATGGTATCTAATATGTTTTATAGTATTTATTATGGTATTCAATATGTTAATTTGAAATGTAAATTTTTCAAAAAGAGATATAAAACTTTTTTGCGAGATATAAATGCTTTTCATTATCGGAAACTTCAAACATCAAAAAGTCTGGAATTTTTTTTCGTATATCTTATCTCGTCTCTCTCGATTTCGAAGACATTCAATGAAAACCAATCTTATTAGATTTCCTTCAAGGAGTTGCTTCAAGCTTTCAACGTGTGAAGAAATAAACATAAAAAATGCGTTTTTCGTGTTTACTTATTTGAAAAAGAATATGTATAAAATAAATATATCTTATTTATTTTACAATATATTCAATGCCCGTCACAATCACTTCCACATGTTTCCTCGTAGGACAAACGTGATTTCGCTTTTTTCTGCGCACTAGGTACGGCCGCAACTACGACGAAGAGGGCCGCAACGTATACTTCGAGTGGGACCCGAGAAACTACAAGAACGAGGCGCTGAAGGCCGAGGTGTACGAAACGCGCAACGACCAATATCGCGCGAGCGTTCACAAGCGGATGTTGCACCCGGACAGCGTCGCCAACTACCCCATCTCCCAGCGCTACACCCCGCCTAGCCAGACGATCGCGCCCATGACCTTGAAGCCGGGCGCACGAGCGCCAGTCCTTCAGTATGCCCACCCCGAGCTGGGCGTGCAGCCGGCCAAGATCGTGAAGAACGAGAAACGCCGGCCGGATAACTTCCCGGAGAACCAGCACTCCTTCACCGAGCAGCGCCACAAGAAGAAGTACGTGCTGAACGACAAGAACATCGTGGACAGCTACACCACGAAGAACTACTACCCGAACCAGCACTTCTACGGTCTCAAGCGGCCGAACGAGCCGCCCTTCTGGGTGAAGATCTCCGAGAATCTAAAGAACCAGTTCTCCACCGGCGTCGAGCGGGTCTCGCAGTTCACCAGGCCGGTGATCGACCCGCTGGTGGAGGCCACCCACAAGATCTCGCAGAATCTCGGCCTGTCCAAGGGCAAAGAGGCACAGGACAAGATCGGCACGGTCGCCTCGGGCACCAGCATCCTCATACCGGCTCTTGGTCTGGTCGCTTCCGGCGCCGCGCTTGGCATAGGCGCGGTGGCGGTCGGCCGATACCTTGACGTGGACGTGCTGAAGCGCTCCAACGCGGACGAGTTCGATCTCGAGCACAAACGAGCCTTGGAAGCGGCCGGGGACAACCTGAGGCTCGTCGCCGCAGACGGAAACGCAAAGTTGAACGAAGCCGCGCCCGGGACGCTCTACGTGCTGCGGAATGTCCCACCTCACGACGACAAGACAGACGAAGGCGCGAGTTCGGCGGAGAGCGATGGAGTCTTTTTGGTCCTCGAGGAGGACAGGCAGAACTCCGAGCGGGTGGAGAACCGAGAGAGCAAGCAGCTGGTGGACGAGAAGGACTACGTGGAGACCGGCGGGCGCAGGAGGAGGAGCCTCGACTACCTGAAAATCTTCAAGAAGGAGGCCGATATGAGGAACCTTGTACGTAGCAAGCGTTTCCAGCGGAAAGGCGCCGACCCCATCAGCGAGATCGTGGAGATTGACATGCCAGCCGAGGGACGCATCGATATCACCGAGTTCTTGTTCCCGAAGACGAAGAACGAACGGATTGCGAATAAGAACACGATCCTGGTCTTCGAAGGCGGTTCGACGAAGACCCCATCGGAGAACTTTGGCTTGAACCCGTCGGATCGGCAGGACAAGTCGGGCAACAGCGCGACGGTCGCTGGGAACGTCGTCAGCGACTCGCGAGACGCGACCTTGATGATCTCGTTGACGGAAGACGACGGAAGTCGACGAGCCGCAGGCCAAGAGACCAGCGACGCTCTTCCCACGCTGGGAGACGCATCGCGCATTCTCGACCGTGATCTCGCGGAGGCGAATAGCGGAGAGGTCGCGGAGGGGTCGAGCGGGACGACCGACGCGGGCAGCAGGCGGCGAAAGCGAAGCATTGAGAGCGATCAGGAGCTGGAGGACGCGCTGCAGAATCTGGAGAACGCGGAGGTAGCCGAGGTCGCTCACGTGCAAGGCGACTGGACGAATACACCTTGCGCCAAGAGGATATTCTGCGACACGATGATCCAGCGGGGCCCCGACGCCGTGGTGCTCATGGAGAAGAAGATGGCGGCGCTACTGAGACTGTGAGTATCTCGTCCGGGCCGTCCCAGGCTGGCTGGTCTCGTCAGCTTCGGCCGAGGGACCAGCCGAGATCTTCTCTCTGTTTCGTCTCGACTATCGGCCATCCCGCGAGTCGGCAACGCGCGATAACAGCCGGTCGGACGGAACTATAGCTAAACGCGGATAACTTTCTTCCAGCTTTCGCCGGCGACGTCCTACTGACTGATTCGACTTTTACCTCTTAGCACAGTTTCACTGTGCATGCACACGCTGCGCATAGCTTGCCTGCTATCGCGCTACCCACAAGAGCGCTAGAAGAAGAAAGAGCTGAAGAAAAAGAGCGGGGGTGGGGATCGGGATGAAAAACAAACGCGCTGCTGGAAAAAGGAAAACGGAGGGGGGGGGAACTCGCGCGCGCGGCCGACGTGATAATTCACTTAGCGCGCACAGCGCACAGCCTTTCCCGTTCTCTCTTTTAATCGTACGCGATTCCGGTTCACTCCGGCCGCCCCACCGAGCTTTTATCAGCGCCAGTCGGTTAGTCGAGCCAGACTGAAAGCTGGTCCCGCTCGAGGTGTGAATTATATTTGAATCTTCGGTTCTTCTTCGAGGCCTCGAGGCGTTGGATTCGAAGAACGAGGTAGTCGAAGGGTGAACATTCGAATGTCCGAACGATACTATCTGCGTAGAATCCTGTTCTTTGCGTTCTTGTGTAAAAATTAGTTTTCTAAAACATCTTGGATATATTTCAAATCTTCGAGTAGAGTTCGAAGACTCGAAGCTTTGAGCTTTTGCTTCGAATGTCGAATGTTGAACCGAAGCCTCGAATATATCGAGTGTATCAGTATACTACTTCCAGATTCCGGTTCTACGCGTCCTCTCCCTCTCCCTCTTTCTGCCTACGCCTCTCTATTAACGTCATAATCTGATGAGAGTCGCGATCTAACGCTTCTCTAACGTCGAGCAACGGCTCTCTTAGCGAGTCGCGGGTCTTTAGGTACGCCCTAAAGAAAGCGAGTTAATCGGAGCGAGAAATCGTTAATGGGACGCGCTGAGGAATGCCGGAGGATTAAAGAATTCACGAGCCAGTGAACACATAATTAGCAATTAGCCGCGTACGGTATCGATCATTCGTCGAAGTGTGTCTCCGGCTTTCCAACGACCCGCCCGGACTAATCCTTCCGCCAGCTAATCGCCGGCGCTTGCGCTTGCAGGATCCAGCCGGGGGCAGCCGTTCACGTGTCCAGCCACTTCGAGGAGGTCATGCACGCCATCAGGAGACACGACTGTTCCAGCTTCCTGTGTCCGCAGGCGAGACCGGGGAACATCTTCTTCTAGATGCCGTCGCGCTATTCAATTTAAACTGAACGAGGGAGGAAGGCGATCGGAGGTTTAGGCGGGCCAATGAGAGTGTGAGATGCAGCTACAAGTACGTGATGCGAATTGATAAACAATATAACGCTTCGTCACACAAGGCAATAAAGATTTCGAAACTAATTCGAATCCTCAGGGTCGAACGGATATTTTAAGATAATATCGACTCGTCTTTCGCGCGGCTTTCAGCAGAAACGTGAACGTTCCAATTAACGACCGAGCGACTCTATCAGGGAAATGAATTAATAAATTCACAATGTTAAGTACACAAAATTGATTTCGTCGGAGATTTTGAACATTTAGCGTTCTAATTTATCTGAATTTATTCATAATATTTTCCCAGAAATAACTGGAGGATCATATTTTTAGCGATGTAGCAGTTGATATTGTTTTTCGCAGCTTAGTTTTGAAGAAACTAAAATAATTAATGGACATTAATTATCAATTTTCAAGATATCTGGGTTTTTTTACCATGGCTTTGGACTTTATTCGAAACTTGTTATATTTTGTGACAATATATAAAATGTAGAGCGCAAAAACACATGTTTTTGGGTAAATATGAACTCATATTGACTGATTTATCAAAGAAAACATAAATAATTGTCATAAATTGAGACGTTCTTATCGTTTTAAATGTTTTAAATGTCTTATCGTTTTGAATGATACCGAAGGAGATCCGAATTAGAATCGAAGTGACCGTTGCCTCTTCGCGAATGACGAGCTCCGCTCTTCACTAATTACACTACGCGCTCGCAGCCGCGTCTCAGCCCTTCGGTCGGCTCGCGTAAGCTTTCGATTTCTACAACTTAGCTATTCAGGCATAAGTGTTTCATAGATGTTGAGACGATCGAGTCAAGACGAAAGACTTCCGCTCGAAATCCGAGCGAGCGCATTTCGATTTCGCGCCACGATTTCGCGACCACAGCACGTCCTCGTCGAGTCGGCGTCTGGCCGATACTGTACATACTTGCCATCGAGGCGACCTTATTTAATATGCACTCGTGTTACTTAGACGATTAAGCGTAGAGTTTAGGGGAGAAAGTGAGAATTTCGGCGGGAGGCCAGTCGGTACGCTCGCAAGTCTCGAGTTCGCCGTTTCGCACGATCGTCGGTGAACGCTTCCGCCGAATGCTTCACTTTGTGCTATTCTTGAACAACGTCGAGTTCCGACGTTTCCCCATCAGGTGTATCTTGCGCCTGTATGAGTTACACTCGGCCCCAGGACGGTTTGCACATGGTTTCCCCAGACGAGATCGCACTGCGGATTGTCGCAATTGAGAGATGCTGTTGACGCGTTCGCGCGCTGGATCGGTTGCGAGAGCAGCCGGGGCGGCGTTTTACACGGTGTAAATATTAAAATACCGCGTAAACTTATTGTACCTTTGCGTGGTATCGATGAAAGCACAATAAAAATGCTCATGTCCTTTAGCCGAATCCTCGCAGTTGCAGTCGCGGCGTCTCTCAATCGCGGTGGTCCGACGAGCATCTCACACTAGATTGCGTCGAGACCGTTTTGCAGCCAAGTGTACATGCAATTCGACTTGACGCTGGAAATTAGGAGCGATTGAAGTATTATTACGCGAAGCTTATTAATCCACAGGCGAAGCCGCCCCAGCGCGCTGGCTAGAGGAGGTATATTTATTTGTGTCCTTTTGTACGCACGTACGGCATCGTGTCTGTAAGTAATAAATCATATTTTTGTGAGAGAGACGCCAGACATTTCTTTCCGACGTGCCCTACCGTGCGCCACGTTGACCCCTGAATCTTTCTTAAATGCTCTATCATTCTTCGCGCGGTGCATCCCTTTTGGAAATCGATAAGAATAAAAGTCAGGGAATTCTGTTTATCCTCGAGTCGAAGACTGTTACTTGCACTCGTTAGTTACGTTAAGAAAAATGCTCGGTATTAGCAATTATAATTGCACAGTGAAAGAGAATTGTTTATGTAAAAATAAATTTTCAGCGAGCGTAATTTATCATTACCACGCGGGAAAAATATTGTGGTAAAAATCACATTGATGTTATATTCCTTTTTCCGATATTTTCTTTTTTTTCTCTTTTTTTTGCAAAACTGATCTGCAGCGATATTGCATGGATCGATCTTCTTAATCTTCTCAGTGCTTTTAGTCTTCTCAGTATATTTGTGTTATTTTTGTTGTATATGCAGATATATTATTTACGTTATTTCTTTGCGGACTTTCAGCCAGCCAGAGATACGCTCGACAGCGCCGTTACATATCTCTATTCATTAATTCAACGTTTTCTATACCGTAATATTTACGTCATATGTCATTTCGTGCTTTAATTTCTCCTTGACGATCAAACCATCGAGATGCGCGATCAAGACACGCAAGCTCCGCGATGACAGTCGCTTTCGGCCAATCGTCGACGTAAGCATATCGATTCGCATCTCGAGATCGACCGATATCGGATGAAAAAGAGACGACGATGAGATAACACACGTGGCTTTTTCGTGGCCGTTGGGTGTAATTCTTGTTACAATGAAGCTACATACAATTTTTAATTGTTGAAACTGCGTACGCGTTGTCCTTTTTGTTTTTATTTTATCTCACTTTTACTTTACTTTAACATTTTTATATTTGATTATGTCAACTTATCGTACAATAGCGTTGATAATTCGTCTTAACAGACGCCTGGAGTCAATATTGAGAGAGAGGTGACATGCTTTTTTGCGAGTGCAAAAATACGTCTTTTGTGGTCTTTAAGCGGTCTCTGACGAGTGTCGTCGCTTCATCAATGACATCTCTTCTGGCTCTGGATAGCAGCCATGAAGTGTCGTCGGTCGATATTAAGGAACGGGTATCTTCATCGAATCAGTTGGCTTGATCAACAGCAGGCTACATATCCGTAAAATTTGATTTAACGTTCTCTGGTTTGGCGATTGCGCGCCGCTCGTTTCGTTATCGATTGTTATTCGAAAGGGTTTGCAAACGTGCAGACAGATGGTAGCGATTGAGCCCTCTTCTTGCATTGAGCAAGCGCCGTTTGAATTGATTGTGACGGGCGACAGTCAAACAATAATTTCCGCTCCGCGAACCGTGCGATGAGTGCTAATGAAGGTAGAATCTATTCGAAAAAAATAAATAAATAAATAAAATAAAAGAAAGCGAGAAAGTTCCCGCCGCGAGATTCAATTAGAATCTCGCTCAATCGCATCGTGAAGTATGTGTAGTTCCGTAACGCAATGCGATACAAGGATTACGCGTCTATTTGTGAGAGAGAAATCACGTGTGTTGATAGAAATTGGTATTGTTCTTTTTGATTTGAACGTCGGTTAAGATAAATAATTAAAAATTACGATTCGCTTGATAAAAACGATATAATACGATAAATAAAAACGATAAATAAAAACGATAAAAAACGATAAATAAAAACGATATAAATTAACGGATTGTTTGCTTCCAATGTGACGTGCTATTCTTTGCATGAGGAAATATGTCTCGTTTCCGGTATTTTTCTTAATATGTTGTCAGTCATAAAATTCTGACACTTCAAATCAGCTCATACCGCAAAATTTTACGTTACATTACGTGATATTGACTTATTTGACTGTTACCTGACTGTTACCCTTTCTTTTATTAAGTCAATTGCACATCCAGAATCAGAAAAGATGCATTCAAGCAACACTCAGATACTATCATATTTGTATTAATCATAAAAATTTCTTTCTTTCATTACTTAAACATATTACACACACACACACACACACACACACACATACACAGAGAAAAACATTTGTTAAGCGAACAATTTCTCGTGTTATTTAATGTATTATTTGTTAAATATCCTCCAATTAAGAAAATACAAATAAAAATTATCTTCGTGCAATTGGCGATTACGATTATTGAGTAAAAAGGGTAATTTTCTCCTAATACATTGCTGTAAAAGTTCATAAAAGTATACTATTATAAACAATACATTATAAACGGTCTATAGATCTGCCGTAGAACTGTGTATCTCCACGACAGCCCGCAAGAGTTGCCGCAGAAAAGTTTATTTCAGTTTCGCGTGCTAGCAAAAAAATATTCGCTTTCGACGTAAAGGTTAACTAAATCGTTTTTGCATGGCAAAGTTCGACATGTTGCGGGAAATAAGCTAAACTGTGCCCGTGTGGCATGAATCGTTCTTTGTTTCTGTCCCTTTTCGACAGTGACTAAAAATAACACTCTGCAATTCCTAGAAAAGTGAAGAAATAACTAAACACGACAATCTTTTTTTCGGAAGATTAATTTGAGAAATTTTAGTTTCCAATTTTACAACTGTATGTCCGATTAAAGAACGTAATTGTGCAGACAAAAATAGACTTGGTAAAAGACAGTCTCAACTTCGAACGGCGTGCCGGACAGCACCGGTTTTAGAATAATCACACCACTCTTGCACTTTCTCTGTTATTTATCGACATTAATGTCTCCTCACCCGAGAATGAAAACCTGAAACAATACAAATAGATAAATAATTCTTCTTTCTAATAATTCAACTTTGTCAGATTTGAGTTACGCGTTCACCCTCAGTCGCCAGTGCCTGCGATTCCTAGGTGTGTGGCCCGATCCATATGTTCCCTTGAGTGAATTCCGTCGGCCGAACTTGAGATACATATTTGTTGTGTGCATTATAAGCTTTTATATGTTCATACCGCAAATAACGAATACATTTCGTGTGTGGGGTAATATGACTTTAATGGTGGAGCAAGTCGCTTCAGCGAACTTCAGTCTTATGGCATTCTGCAAGCTGGTCGTCACCCGGTATCATGGTGAAAGTAAGTCTTTTACTCTTTCTCTCTTTGTCTTTCACCGTTTCTCTCTTAGTGACAACAAAACTATACGAATAAATTAGCGATTATTTCTGATTATCGAGATGCTTCTGCGTCTCGTCTCTTCTAACAAAAATTTTTTATGTAAACACGACTTGAACATTTATGTAAATATTTTTTACGTCAATATGGGACATATTTATATACGTGTATGGTACGGACATTGATATTTTTATTGAAACACCACGTCTGATCTGAAAGCTCTGCGAACGCTAATGACATCGTTCAAGACCGACTGGATGACTTCAAAACGAAATTGGGAACGTAATACGATGTTGAAAGTAGCAAGAAGTGGCAGAAACATATCTTTCAGCTGTTACATAAGTCTCATATGCACGACCATCTTTTATATCTCTTTCAATCTCTTGAAATTGTACCGAAACATATCTCAGTCCGAACGGAAGTTGGTCTACCAGTTCGATTATCCCTATGACATGCAGAAGACTACATACTACGTGATTACCTATCTTGTTCAAATTTCGGCCGGCACGTACGCGGCAATGATCAACTCTACCGTCGACACCTTCGTCTCGATGCTCTTGCTGCACGTTTGCGCGCAGCTAATTAATCTACGAACGGCGCTCAACAACTTGGTCGAGAAGCTAGCCGAGAAATCTATATGTTCCGCTAAGTATAAGGAGGATATTAGCGCGACCGTCCTACGACACGAGAGTCTCATCAGGTACGTTGTAGAGATTTCGGAGTGTGATTTAACACCGTGAGGGATCATCGAATCATACGCATTTTCAAGGAACGCTAAGGCAATCGATAACTGCTACAGCACAGTTTTACTGGTGCACATGACGGCCGCTACTTTTCAGCTGTGTTTCCAAAGTTTTCAGGTTTACATGGTAAGTGAAACCGCGCATCTTACATTCAATTTTTACTGCATTACTGCACGCGGTAAAACAATCTCTGTCTGTGTAATTGAATAGAGGCCAGGCGAAAACTCGGTGAACACAAACTTCGTCACCATTACGGCAATCAAAACCGCAGCACTCGTACGAACACTCGGCCACTTTGAAATTCGGTCGAGATAGCAGAGGGCATAGGATTGAATAGAAACATTTCGCGGGGGGGAATCTTTCTGTTTCCACAATTGAGTTTCTCCGAGTCTAGAAACTATATTCTAGTCTTGAACTATTCTTTCTAGAGAAATCCGGTTAGACTTTAACAATAATGTTTCTTCCAAAAATTGTTCCTTTCCTTTAGCTTTACAAAATTACACTTGCTTTTGCGATATTTTTACGGGATTAGTTATTATGCTAAGTGCATCGATCGAAATGAGAGATTTTATTTCCAGAGAATAACGGACAAGAATCCGGATAGCTCTACTGTTAAAATGGCTTTCCTCATGTTTTATGTCATACTCTTGTTGATACACTTGTACGCGTATTGTTACTCAGCTGAGAAACTCTTAACAGAGGTAAGGAATGACGTACTAAACGATGCGATATATGCATTTACTTTTATTATTTATTATTTTTAGAGTACCGCAGTAGCGTATGGCGTGTATGAATGCAAGTGGTACGACATACCATCGAGAGACGCGAAAGATTTAATGTTTATCGTATATCGATCTATGATTTCACTCAGACTGACGGCTGGGAAATTTAGTACCTTTTCGATTGAAATGTTTGGGACGGTAAAGTATCTGAGAGAAAAATACACATATAATTCCATATTTAATTTTTACATAAATATACCCACTCCTTTAGATTATAAGGAAAACAACTTTTATTTTTTCTATATTCTTAATTATATTTGATTATTAAATAATTTACTTAATTATGTAATTGTTAATTTGCTTTAAGTAAAACGGATACAGGTGATCGTTTGTAAATATTTATCATTATCATATGCGGAAATTGAATTTGTGACATAACTATCTTGGTGTGTTTAGACGGTGAAGACGTCAATGGGATATTTATCAATGTTGATGGCGATAAACAATTAGAGGAAATAATATTAGAAGTGATTTCATGCTAATTCCGCATATAGCTAGCCACCATTCGTTTATGATTAAGTTAATTTTATTTACATCTACTGTATGCAATATAGTTCCTATATAAGAAATATACATTTCAATAGAAAAATATAAATTATCTATTACGAAAAACGACGAGAATTGTTAATTTTACCTTTTGATCATCAGGTTTGTCCGATATTATTACCAAACTTAAGGGAACAATTAAAAAGCATATTATAGAAGAATGAAAATAATTTTGTGATTAGTTAGAATAATTAGCAGTGAATTAGCAGTGAGTCACATTTTCAATAAAAAACTGTGATCGATTTGCCACATTTTCGCCTAAGCGGCAGTCTTTATAATATTTGACGACAGATAATAATGAAGGGTAAGAATAAATATGAATGAATGAGCAGCTTCATCGAATGTGTTTATTTACATCCAAAAAAGGCGTCGTACTCGCAATAACTGACTTAACGTATGACGATTGTGTGTCATGCATTTTGTTATCGATTGTTATTCGAAAGGGTTTACAGAGGTACTCACAGATGGTAGCCATTGTAACAACTGTCCGAACTGAGCAAGCGCAAAATCTCGGCTGCTGGACACGATTGCAAGTAGCAAGTCAGTCAAACAATAATTCTTCTTTCGTGAACTTCAATGAGTGTCAACGAAGGTAGAACAAATCTCTTTAAAACTAAGAAGTGAGAAAGTTATTTACCGTTCTGTTGAACGGTAAATGACTTTCTGTTGAATTTACATGATAATGCTATGAAATTCATACGAAATGCAAAGCAATCTGGTTTACATGACATCACGGAGTGTATTATATAACGGAACATTTTCTCCCTCGATTTGGGTCTCGATGAAGATGGAGCCATAAATTATTATAAATTATTTTCACGCGATGTCCATAACCGTAATAATAAACCAAATTAAAAAAGTATCTCTTTCTTCACACGATCCGTTATTCTTTGCGGCCGAAAATTTTTTTCGCGCGTCTTCAGTATTTTATTGATATTTTGCTAGGAACAAAAATTATTTTACATAACTTGTTTTTACTTGCTTGAAAATTATTGAAACGCAATATTTTCCAACGATTATGTTTTGTCTAATTATTTAGTATTATTCATCAATTATCTTCCGTCTGTTTAAAAAAGTCAAACGTAGACAAATGTCGTACGAAAATTAATGTTTGTGTTGAATAAAGAGAGGATTTGATCTCTCTTATAGCTTCGTCATAAATCACGCAAAACTCGTATCTCATTGCACGTTGACTATAGATTTGTTATGGAACTTTATGCTTCCATGATGAAAGTTTCCACAAGTTGGCATCGAAGTTTATTTCGGCTTTGTATACTAGCAAAAAATATTCGCTCTTATTCGAGGTAGAGATTCACTGAAGTGTTTTGGTGTGGTATAGTTCGACAACTAGCGAGAAATAAGCTACCGTTTGAAATGTTACCGTGAACGGATCGGTCTTTGTTTTCATCCAGTGCGATTAAATCAAGAATTGCGTAGTACTTCGAAGAATAGGGAAATAATCAACGTAGTAACTTTGTTTGTCTAAAATTAATTGAAAGTTTTACATAGTGATAACGATGAGAAATAATATAATTAGAAAAATATTTGATACATTGAAATATTTCAATCCTTATTTTGAAATAACGATATTATGTCTGTTTTCATATTCCGTTACATATCGGAATTAATTTTATTTACACGAGTGTAGCTCCACATTAACATAACAAAATGATGCTTTTTTCTCACATTTACCTTTGCTAGATTTGCATCATACTTTCTCCTTGTGCCGCCAATTCCTGCGATTAGTAGGCGTATGGCCCGATCCAGATACTCCTTTGAGCGACTTTCGGCCCTACTTAAGATTTTTTATTACAATGTGTATCTTGAGCATGTACGTTTACGTACCGCAACTCATGAATGCGATACGTTCTTGGGGTAATATGGATTTAGTGATACATTACACCGCCAGTGCTAACTACAGCTTTTTAGCATGTTGCAAGCTGGTCGTCACTCGGTATCACGGTGAAAGTAAGTAACTAATTTTTCTTTTTTTTCCACTCTTTCACTCGCAGTAGCAATGAAATTATACAAATAAATTAACAATCATTCCTATTTATCGGGAATCACGACTCGATGAGACGCTTTTCGCTTCGAACAAAATTTTTTTTGTGTAAACATAACTTAGTTTGAACATTTGTGTAAATTCTTTTTATGTAATTATGGGGCATATTTACATGGTTCGGAAATGATGTTTTTATTGAAATACCACGTTTGATTTGAAAGCCTTGCGAACGCTAATGACATCGTTCAGGACCGACTGGATGACATCAAAGCGAAACTGGGAACGTAATACGATGTTGAAAGTAGCAAGAACTGGCAGAAGCATATCTTTCTGTTGTTATATGAGTGTCATATGCGCGACCAGTGTTTACGTATATATGCACCTCTTGAAATTTTACCGAAATATATGTTTGTCCGAACGGAAGTTGGTTTATCCGTTCGATTATCCTTATGACATACAAAAAAGTCCATACTACGTAATTACTTACTTCACTCAAATGTGTGCTGGCCTGTGCGCGGCATATACCAACTCCACTGTAGACACCTTCGTCTCGCTGCTCTTGCTGCACGTTTGCGCGCAGCTGATTAATCTACGAACGATGCTCAACAACTTGGTCGAGAAGCTAGCCGAGAAATCTATACCATCCACAAAGTTTAAGGAGGGCATTACCGCCATCGTCCTACGACACGAGAGTCTCATCAGGTTCGTTATAGAAATTTCGGATTGCGATTTAATACCGTGAGGGATTATCGAATTATACGCATTTTCAAGGAACGCTAAGATGATCGATAATTGCTACAGCATGGTTTTGTTGGTACACATGATGGTCGCTACTTTTCAGCTGTGTTTTGAAAGTTTTGAAGTTTATACGGTAAGTGAATCCAAACGTCTTACATTTAATCTTTATGCATTACTGTATGCGGGGAAACAATTTTTGTCCGTGTAATTGAATAGAGGCCAGGCGAACATTCGGTAAACAAAAACCTTCGTCATCATTAGCAATCAAAACCGCTCCTACGAGCATTCGGTCACTTTGAATTTTGATCGAGACAGCTGAGAGCAACTGGTTGAATATAGAAACATTTTGCGGGGGAACATTTCTGTGTTTACAATTGAGTTTTCTCGAGTCTAGAATCTATTTTCTCCAGACAGGAGAAATCCGGTTAGACTCTAACAAAAATGTTTCTACCAAAAATTGTTTCTTTCATTTAGCTCTACAAAACACTGCACTTGCTCTTACGATATTTTTATGAAAATATCAAATAAAGTTTTTAATAAAATTAGTTATTATGACAAATTAGCTATTATGCCAAATGCATCTCTCATTTCGATCGATTTTATTTCCAGAAAATAACGCACAATAATTCAGATGGTACTACTGGCTCTAAAATGGGTTTTCTCGTATTTTACGTCATGCTCTTGTTGATACAGTTATACATGTATTGTTACTCAGCTGAGAAACTTTTAACAGAGGTAAGGAATGAACTAAACGATGCGATATATGTATAAATATTATATATATATTTTTTATTATTTGCTATTTTTAGAGTACTGCAATGGCATATGGCGTATACGAATGCAAGTGGTACGACATACCATCGAGAGACGCGAGAGATTTAATGTTTATCGTGTATCGATCTATGATTCCACTCAGACTGACAGCTGGGAAGTTTAGTACCTTTTCGATTGAAATGTTTGGAACGGTAAAGTATCTGCGAGAAAAATACATATACAGTTCCACATTTAATTTTTATACAAATATGTCCATTTCTTTAAATTAGAAAAAGGCCAACTTTTATTTTTTCTATATCCTTAATTACACTTGATAATTGACCAATTTATCCAATTATTACACATTGTTTTGATTAAAACGAACATAGGTGATGGTTTATGATTATTTATCATTATCATACTTTAATTTGTGTCATAATTATCTCGGTCTGTTTAGATGGTGAAGACGTCAATGGGATATTTATCAATGTTGCTGGCGATAAAGAATTAGAGGAAATATTATTAGAAGTGATTTCATATTAACCTCTCATATGACTAACCACCACTCGTTTATGATTAAGATAATTTTATTTATATACACTGTATGCGATATAGTTTCTATATAAAAAATGTACATTTCTGTAGATAAATATGAATTATTTCTTTCGAAAATCGACAAGACTTTATTTTCCCTTCTGATCGTCAGCTTTGTTCGATATTATTATCAAATGTAAGGGAACAATTAAAAAGCATATTATTGAAGAATGAGAATAATTTTGCGATTAGTTAGAATAATTACAGCTGAGTGAAATTTTCAATAAAAAATGTGACCGATTTGCCACATTCTCGCCTAAACGACATTTTCAATAATATTTGACAACAGCCAATAATGAGTAAATGTGAATGAACGAGCATCGAATTTGTTTGCTTACATCGAAAGAAAAATGCGTCGTGCTCGCAATAACTGGCTTAACGCATGACGATTACATGTCGTGCATCTTATTACCGACTATTATCCGAAAGGGTTCGCAGAGGTACTCATAGATGGTAGCCATTGTAACACCTGTTCGAACTGAGCAAGCGCAAATTACGGCTGCTGGACACAATAGTAAGTAGCAACTCAGTCAAACAATAATTCTCCTTTCGTGAACTTCAATGAGTGTCAACGAAGGTAGAACAAGTCGTTTTAAAACTAAAGTGCGAGAAAGTTGTTTACCGTGAAGTCCTGTTAAAATTACATAAGAATGCCGTAAAATTCTTACGTAATGCAAAGCAATATAGTTTACATGACATCACGGAATATATTATATATGTAACAGAAATATTTTTCCCTTATTATGGATTTTGAAGCAAATCAACTTATAAATAATGATTATAAATTATTTTTACGCGAAGTCAACAACCGTAAAAGTAAACTAAAATTTAAAAAAAATCAGTTATCGCATATTCTTTACACGACACGTTATTTTTTGCGGCCGAAAATGTTCCTCGCGCGTCTTCTATAGTATTAATATTTTGCTAGAAACGACATTTACTTTACGTAACTTGTTATTAATTGCTTGTAAAATATTGAAACGAACTATTTTGAGACGATCGTGTTTTGGATAATTATTTAATATTATTTATTAATTATTTTTCGTCTGTTTAAGAAGTCAAACGTAGATAAATGTCGTACGAAAAATAATGTTTGTGTTGTATAAAGAGAGGATTTGATCTCTCTTATAGCTTCGTCATAAATCACGCAAAACTCGTATCTCATTGCACGTTGACTATAGATTTGTTATGGAACTTTATGCTTCCATGATGAAAGTTTCCACAAGTTGGCATCGAAGTTCATTCCAGCTTTGTGTACAAAAAATATTCGCTCTTATTCGAGGTAGAAAAACTGAAGTGTTTTTGCGCGGTATAGTTCGACAAGTAGCGAGAAATAAGCTAACGTTTAAAGTGCTACCGTGAACAGATCGGTCTTTGTTTTCATCCAATGCGATTAAATCAAGAACTGTGTAAGACTTCGTAAAATGAAGAAATAATAAACATAGTAACTTCGATATTCTAAAATTAATTTTGAAATTGAATTTTAGCGATAACGATGATATCTACATGATAAAAAATAATATAATTAGAAAAATACTTAAAACATTGAAATATTTTAATCCTCATTTTGAAATAATGATATTATGTTTGGATTCATATTACTATAAAGTAATATAAGTAATTATATACCGGCGTTAATTTTATTTACGTGAATGTAGCTCCATATCGACATAACAGAATGATACTTTTTCCTGACATTTATCTCTGCCAGATTTGCATCATACTTTCCCTTTGTGCCGCCAATTGATGCGATTAGTAGGCGTATGGCCCGATCCAGATGCTCCTTTGAGTGACTTTGGTCGGCCCAATTTAAGATTTATAGTTACAGTGTGTATTTTGATCATGTACGTATACGTACCGCAGTTCATGAATGCAATACGTTCTTGGGGTAATGTGGAATTAATGATACAATACATCGCCAGTGTTAACTTCAGCTTTTTGGCATGTTGCAAGCTGATCGTCACCCGGTATCACGGTGAAAGTAAGTAACTAATTTTTCTCTTTTTTCCACTCTTTCACTCGCAATAGCAATGAAATTATACAAATAAATTACCAATCATTCCTATTTATCGGGAATCACGACTCGATGAGACACTTCGTGTGCCTCTTCGCTTCGAAAAAAACTTTTTTGTGTAAACACGACTTAGTTTGAACATTTATCAAATTATAAAAATTATATAAATTCTTTTTACATAAATATGTGACATATTTACATAAATGTTTCGGAAATTGATATTCTTATTGAAATACCACGTTTAATCTGAAAGCCTTGCGGACGCTAATGACATCGTATAGAACCGACTGGATCACTGCAAAGCGAAACTGGGAACGTAATACGATGCTGAAATTAGCAAGAACTGGCAGAAGCATATCATTCAGCTGTTACACGAGTCTCATATGCGCGATCAGTCTTTACGTATATATCAACCTCTTGAAATTCTACCGAAACATATCTCAGTCTGAACGGAAGTTAATCTATCAGTTCGATTATCCTTATGACATGCAGAAAACTTCATACTATGTGATTACTTATTTCATTCAAATTTCGGGCGGTATGTACGTGGCAATGATCAACTCCACCGTCGATATCTTTGTCGCGCTGCTTTTGCTTCACGTTTGTGCGCAGCTGATAAATTTACGAACGGCGCTCAACGACTTGGTCGAGAAGCTAGCCGAAAAATCGATACCTTCCGCAAAGTTTAAGGAAGGCATTACCGCCATCGTCCTACGACACGAGAGTCTCATCAGGTATGTTGTAGAGATTTCGGAGTGTGATTTAACACTCCGTGAGGGATCATCGAATCATACGCATTTTTAAGGAACGCTAAAACGATCGATAATTGCTACAGCACGGTTTTGTTGGTGCAAATGATGGCCGCTACTTTTCAGCTGTGTTTCGAAAGTTTTCAGGTTTACACGGTAAGTGAATCCACACGTCTTACATTCAATCTTTATGCATTACTACACGCGGAAAAAGAATTTTTGTTTGTATAATTGAATAGACGTCAGGCGAAAACTCGGTGAACAGAAACATCCGTCATCGCGATTAAAACCGCATTCACAAGTACATTCGACCACTTTAAAATTCGGTGAAGGTAGCGGATAGATATTGATTGAATAGAAACATTCCTTTTAGGAATCTTACTCTTTCCACAATTGGGTTCTTCTAAGTCGGAGAAATATTTTTTTTTGGCTAACTGGAAATTCAGTTACATTTTGACAGAATCGTTTCCTCCGTTATTTCATTTATCTTTACAAAATTAAACTTACCTTTATATATTTTTACAAAATTAATCACATATTAAGTGCATCGATCGAGATGGGAGACGTTATTTTCAGGGAATGATAGACAAGAATTCGGAGAGGTCGACAATTAAAATAGCTTTCCTTATATGCTATGTCACGCTCTTATTGTTAGACGCATACGTGTATTGCTATGCAGCTGAAAGACTTTTAATAGAGGTAGGGAATGACGAATTAATCGATGCGATTTATTTTTTTCTATTATTATTACAATACATCATATTATTATCATTGTGTATTTTTTATTATTTACTATTTCCAGAGTACCGCAATAGCATATGGTGCATACGAATGCAAGTGGTACGATATACCATCGAGAGACGCGAGGGATTTAATGTTTATCGTATATCGATCTATGATTCCATTAAAACTGACAGCTGGGAAGTTTGGTATCTTTTCCATTGAGATGTTTGGAATGGTAAGATATCTGCGAGAGGAATTCACATTCTGCTTTATATTCAATTTTTACACAAATATTAGATGTACGAATAAGTTCGGTGTCTTTATATTCAATCCATATTTGATGAGGTTTCAAAGGTGGTCTTTATTATGAGTTGCTCAAATCCGGTGGAACGATTACTTCTGAGCGTTACTTTCTGTACAACAAATTATTAATTGACATAATTGAACGCAAAAGACCTTTTATCAATGGAATCATGCAATGATTTTGTTGCACAACAATACGGCCTCGTGCAACAAAAGCAACCCTGGAAATTACCTCACCATCGTGCAACTTATTCACCACGCTTTGTTCCTCGGATTATCTGTTCCGGTCGCTGCAACATCACCTGATAGTTTCTCACTTAAAATTTCCCAAGAAGGTCGAGAAAAGCATAATTGATTTTATTGAATGAAAACCATCATCTCTTTATCAAAACGGAATTCGCTAGCTCCCCGAAAGATGGGAGATGTGTTTAAAAAATAATGGGGACTATTTCGAAAATTTACATGGTTTTTTGTAAATAAACATCAAGAATATGCCTATAAGACACCGAACATATTTATGCACCTAAAATATATTCACTTCTTTAGATTAGAAAAAGGATAACATTCTCCGCGACATTTTTTTTTAAATTATACTTGATTATCGTATAATTTACTCAATTATATACAATTATCAAGTTATTTTCATTAAAATTGATACAAGCGATAGTTTGTGACTATTTATCATTATATACGAGAAATGAAATTGTATCACAATTATTTTAATCTGTTTAGACAGTGAAGACATCAATGGGATATCTATCAATGTTACTAGCGATAAACAATTAGAGAAAATGATTTTATATTAGAAGTGATTTTATACTAATTCCGCATACGACTAACCACCACCGTTTATGATTAAGTTAACAATTTAGATTAATAACTTTATTTATATCCACTATATGCCATACAGTTCCTATATAAGAAATATACATTTCTGTAGAAAAATATAAAATATTTATTTCAAAGAAGAACGAGAATTGTTTATTCTACCTTTGATCGTCACGTCTATTCGATATTATTACCAAACGTAAGGAATAATTAAAATGCATATTACTGAAGAATGAGAATAATTAGCGATTAGTTAAAATAATTAGCAGTGAGCAATGAGTGAAATTTTTAATAAAAGGATGTGATCAATTTGCTATGTTTTCGACTGAGCGATATCCTCTCTAATATTTGACAACAGCCAATAATGAAGGGTAAGAGTAGATATGAATGAACGAGTAGCTCCATCGAATAAGTTTACTTACATTTGAAGAAAAAGGCGCTGCGTTCGCAACAATTGACTTAACGTATGATGATTGCATGTCGTGCATCTTGTTATCGATTGCTATCCGAAAGGGTTTACAGAGGTACTCACAGATGGTAGCAATACCGGTCCGAACTGAGCAAGCGCAAAATCACGGCTGTTTGACACGATCGCAAGTAGCAACTCAGTCAAACAATAATTCCCTTTTCGTGAACTTCAATGAGTATCAACGAAGGTAGAACAAGTTTCTTCAGAACTAAAGAGCGAGAAAGTTGTTTACCGTGACATTCCGTTAAAATTACATAATAGCGCCGCGAAATTCTTATGCGATGCAAAGCAATGCAGTTTACATGACATCACAAAGTGTATTATATAACGAAAGTTTTTTTCCCTTGATATGGATATCGATGAAGATGCATCTATAAATTATTATTATATTATCTTCACGCGATGTTCACACAGTCGTAATAGTAAACCAAAATTAAAAGAAAACATCAATTATCGAATATTCTTCACATGACCCGTTATTCTCTGCGGCCGAAAATGTTCCTCTCTCTCGCGCGTCTTCAGTATTTTATTTGTATTTTGTTATAAAATAAAATTACTTTATGTCATTTATTATTATTATGTTTGAAAAGCATTGAAATGCGATATTTTCGATTATGTTTAGTGTAATTATTTAATATTATTTATCAATTATGCTTCGCCATTTTAAAAGAGCAAAGGTAGATAAATGTCGCACAAAAATTAATGTTTGTGTTGAACAAAGGGAGAATTTGATCTTATAGCTTCGTCGCGAAACCACGCGAAAATAATGTTTCATTGTAAGCGAACTATAGATCTGTTACAGAACTTTATGTATCCACAAAAGTTTGCACAAGTTGGCTTCAAAGTTTATTTCAGCTTTGTACACTAGCAAAAAATATTCGCTTTTAGTCGAGACAGAGGTCCAAGTGTTTTTGCATGGCAAAGTTCGACATGTCGGGAGAAATAAACGTTTGAAATCCTATCGTGTGTAAACGAATCAGCCTTTGTTACCATCCAGTGTAATTAAATCAAGAATTGTATAGTACTTCAAGAAGTGAAGGAACAATCAACGTAGTAAATTTTTTCTCTAAGATTAACTTGGAAAGTTTTATATAACGTTAACGATGATATTCACACGATGAGAAATAATGTAATTAGGATAATACTTGAAACATTGAAATATTTCAATCCCCGTTTTGAAATAATGATATTATGTTTGAAATCATATTCCGTTTGCATTAATATTTATCTACATAGAGTGTATAACTCTATATCGATAGAACGAGATGATGCTTTTTCTGAAAATTACCTCTAATAGATTTATATCGCACTTTCGCCGTGTGTCGCCGATTCTTACGATTAGTAGGCGCATGGCCTGATCCTGATGTCCCTTTGAGTGACTTTCGTCGGCCCAAGATAAGAATCATGATTTCAGTGTGTATTGTGTGCATATATGTGTACGTACCGCAATTGTCGAATGCAATACATTCTTGGGGCAACGTGAATCTAATGATACAACACATCGCCAGCGCTAATTACAGCTTTTTAGCATGTTGCAAGCTGATCGTCACCCGGTATCACGGTGAAAGTAAGTGATCAATTTTTTTCAAACAATTTCTCCCTTCTTCACTATTTCTCTCTCAGTGGCAATCTCTCGCAGTGAAATCATATAAATAAATTACCAATCATTTTTATTTATCGGGAACCACGACTCTAATTGAGACACTTCATGTGGCCTTTCGCTTTGAACAAAAATTTATTATACAAACACGACTTGGTTTAAATATTTATATAGATTTTTTCATGTAAATACGGGACATATTTACATACATGGTTCGGAAATTGATGTTTTTATTGAAATACCACGTTTGATCTGAAAGCCCTGCGAACGCTAATGACATCGTTGAAGACCGACTGGGTGACTTCAAAGCGAAACTGGGAACGTAATACGATGTTGAAAGTTGCAAGAACTGGGAGAAACATATCTTTCAGCTGTTACATGAGTTTCATATGCGTGGCCATCTTTTACGTCTATTTCAACCTTTTGAAATTCTACCGAAACATATGTCTGTCCGAACGGAAGTTGGTCTATCAGTTCGATTATCCTTATGATATGCAAAAGGTTCCATACTACGTGATTACTTATTTCATTCAAATTTGCGCCGGCATATGCGCAGCATTTATCAACTCTACTGTAGACACCTTCGTTTCTCTGCTCTTGCTGCACGTTTGCGCGCAGCTGATTAATCTACGAACGACACTTAACAACTTGGTCGAGAAGCTAGCCGAAAAATCTATACCTTCCGCTAAGTATAAGGAGGGCATTACCGCGATCGTTCTACGACATGAGAGTCTCATCAGGTATGTTGTAGAGATCTCAGAATGTGATATAACATGAAGGATTAACACAAAGGATCATACGCATTTTTAAGGAACGCTAAGATCATTGATAACTGCTACAGCTTGGTTTTACTGGTGCATATGATAGCCACTACTTTTCAACTGTGTTTCCAAACTTTTCAAGTTTATACGGTAAGTGAATCCGCACGTCTTATATTCAAATTTTATGCATTACTGCATGCGGGAAAACAATCTCCGTCTGGGTAACTGAATACAGGCCAGGAGAAAAGTTGCACCGCAATCAGACCCATATTCGGCCGTCTTAAAATTCAGCCGATATAATTGAGGACTATTGACTAATTGTAAATAGAAACACGTTTTCTGAAGGAATCTTTCTGTTTCGACAATTAAGTTTTCCCGAGTCTGGGAACTATTTTTTCCAATTACGAGAAATTCGGTTAGACTCTAACAGAATTGTTTCTTCCAAAAATTATCTCATATTTGTACTTTTACAAAGTGACACCTGCCTTTACGATATTTTTACAAAATTTTCCATATACTAAGTGCGAGTATCGAATGAAATGGTAGAAATTATTTTCAGAAAATAACGGACGAGAATTCGGATGGTTTGACTATTGGAATGGTATATCTTATGTTTTACGTTATGTTCGTGTTGACACACATATACATATATTGCTACTCAGCTGAGAAACTTTTATCGGAGGTAAGGAATGATGAATTAAACGACGCGATATACATATTTTTTTATTATTTACTATTTTTAGAGTATCGCTGTGGCGTATGGCGTGTACGAATGCAAGTGGTACGACATACCATCGAGAGACGCGAAAGATTTAATGTTCATCGTGTGTCGATCTATAATTCCACTCAGACTGACAGCTGGGAAATTTAGCACCTTTTCGATTGAGACGTTTGGAATGGTAAGATACTTGCGAGAAAAATACACACTCTTTTTCAAATTTGCTTTTTATATACACAAATATATCTATTTCTTTAAATTAGAAAAAGTACATTCGCTCTTACATCTTTGTATGTAATTATCATATTATATATGAATTTTCTTAATTATACACCATTGTCAAATTATGTTGGTTAAAATCGATGCAACTGATAGTTTGTGATTGAGTTTGTTATTATCATACACGGAAAATGGATTGTGTCATAATTATTTTGGTCTGTTTAGACAGTGAAAACGTCAATGGGATATTTATCAATGTTGCTGGCGATAAACAATTAGAAGAAATAATATTAGAGGTGATTTCATATTAATTCCGCATACGACTAACCACCATTTATTTACAATTAAATAAACAGTTTCATTTATATGCACTGTATACGATATTGTTCTAATAAAAGAAATACACATTTCTGTAGAACAATGTAAATTATTTATTTCTAAACAACGAGAACTGTTCTCCTCTTTGACCATTCATGGTTTGTCCTATGCACTGAGAGAAAAGTATATGATATTTGGAACTATAATGATATAGTAACTAAATTATAGTCCGAAATATCATATTTATAGTAAGTATTATCGTAATATCGGTAATAATTACGATATAGGCATAGTATAACCAACCATATAATATTTTTATTAAGAATTATAGTAAGTTAAACTAAAATTATTGTATGGATACAAATATAAAATGGTAGGTAAAGTAACTCTTTTATATAGTCAATATTACCCGAATATTTGCTAAATGATGACAGATGAATATGAATATGAATGACAAACTATATGAATATTAAATCTCACTATATTTGTGAATGAGAAATTACTATATATGTGGTAAAAGTAACTAAACAATTATTTAAGACAATCATTGGCTATATATTTGTGTTTATTCTACTATATTTTGCAGGTTCCACGAACTATAAAAATATGGTTGACACCAAAATGAACTATAAAATATAGTGAGATTATAGTTAATTCAACTATATTTTTCTATTAGTGTGTTATTACCAAACATAAGAAAACGGTTTAAAACCATATTATCGAAGAATAAGAATAATTAGTGATTAGTTAAAATAATTAGCAGTAAGTCAAATTTTCACTATAAAAACATGATCCACTTACACGTTTTTCGTCTAATCGATATCTCTTATAATTTTTGACAATATTTTATGATGAGAGTCGATATTAATGAATGAGCAGCGACATTAAATGAGCAGTTCGCTTATATTCGAAGAGTGGACACGCAAAAGCTAAGTGTTCGTAAAAACTGACTTAACGTATGACGATTGCATGTAATGTATCGATTATTATTCGAAGAGGTTTACAAAGGTGCTCACAGATGGTAGCCATTGTAAATCCTGTTGGCACTGAGCAAGCGCAAAATCACGGCTGTTTGACATGATCGCAAGTAGCGACTCAGTCAAATAATAATTCCCCTTTCGTGAGCTTCAACGAGTGTCAACGATGAAATGAGTGTCAACGAAGGTAGAACAAGTTTCTTCAGAACTAAAGAGAGAGAAAGTTGTTTATCGTGACGTCCGTTAAAATCACATAATCATGCCGTGAAATTCTTATGCAATACAAAACAAATACAGTTTACATGACATCACAAAGTGTATTATATATATAACGGGAATTTCTTTTCTCTCGATATTAGTCTCGATGAAGATTAACCTGTAAATTATTATAAATTATTTTCACTCGATGTTCGCAACCATAATAGCAAACCAAAATTTCCAAAATATCAATTATCGAATATCTTTCTTTACACGATACATTGTTCTTTGCGGCCGAAAATGTTTCTCGCACATTTTCAGCATTGTATTGGTATTTTGTTATAAAATAAAATATTTTATATCATTTAGTAATATTTGCTTGAAAAGCATTGGAACGTGATATTTTCAAACGATTATGTTTCATGTAATTATTTAATATTATTTATCAATTATGTTCCGTCATTTTAGAAAACCAAACATAGATAAAAGTAAAAAATTAATGTTTACGTTGAATAAAGAGAGCATTTGATCTTATAGCTTCGCCGTACGACCATGCGAAAATCGTGTTTCATTGCAAGCAGACTATAGATCTGTTATGAAACTTTATACATTCACAAAAGTTTTCATAATTGTCGGTATCGAAGTTTATTTCAGTTTTGTACATTAGCAAAAAATATTCGCTTTTATTCGAGATAGAGATTCATTGAAGAGTTTTTGCGTTCGCAAAGTTCGACATGTGGAGAGAAATAAACGTTTGAAATATGTGAACCATATGTGAACAAATCGGTCTTTGTCATCATTCAGTGCAATTAAATCAAGAATTGTGTAATATTTCGAAAAATGAAGAAATAATCAATGTAGTAATCCTTTTTTTCTAAAATTAACTTTAAAAATTTTGCATGACAATAACGATGATATCCGTACGACGAGAAACAATGTAATTAGAAAAATACTTGAAACATTGAAATATTTCAATCCTTATTTTAAAATAATGATATTATATTTAGACTTATATTTCGTTATACTGGCATTCATTTTAATTAAACGAGTGTAGCTCCATATCGATATAACAAGGTGATGTTTTTGTCTCACATTTATTTTTGCTAGATTTGCATCACACTTTCCCTTTGTGCCGTCAATTCCTGCGATTAGTAGGCGTATGGCCTGATCCAGACGCCCTTTTGAGTGACTTTCGTCGGTCGAAGATAAGATTCATAATTACAGTGTTTATCATGAGTATTTATGTGTGTGTACCGCAATTCATGAATGTGATACGTTCTTGGGGTAACATGGATTTAGTGATGCAACACATCGCCAGCGCTAATTACAGCTTTTTGGCATGTTGCAAGCTAGTTGTCGCTCGATATTACAATGAAAGTAAGTAATCATTGCCTTTCTGTCAGTAAATTAAATAGATATCTAATTCATTAATTAATTAATCGATGTTGTTTATTCCGTAAAATCATGTGAGACATCAGATTTTGCTTTAATTTACTTATGATACAATACTGAGTTATCTTATTGTGACTTTGAAATGTTGTAACATTCATGCACACACATTTAGCCCCGGTCTCAGTTTAACATTTTTTATAACTCATCTTTATTCGCCTAATGTTTAATATATCATCTCTTTACGAATATAACATTTCGAAAACTCATTAGATAAAATTGTAAGTATTTATCCTATTTTTTTTTATTTTCTTAGAACGATATTGCTCTATTAGTATACTTTATGCTTTATGCGATGTAAATTGCTGAAATTATAATTTATTACAGAACATAAATAACATTATTCGTGCTTTCGTGAGTATATGTATTTGCAGAAAAAGAGAATTAAATCATGAAATTTATGAAAGAAAAACATACGGTATATATATATGCGCGCGCGTGATTACGTGGCCTTTCCAGGATCCCCATGAAAGTTTTCGACTTCGTCTTCGTCTTTCGTTTTCGTCTTCAGCCCAAATTGACACATCACGAAATATTTGTTTTCGGTTTCGGTCGATATTCAAAGAAGGTTCTTTCGATCGGACTCTAATTGTCAGCAGATCGTGAAAAATCAGTATCTCTGTCTATAGGTGTACTATATAATACATAATATGTTATTTAATAAAAGTCGAGCCGAATTTATGACTGATCCAAAGCGTCATTTTTTATTTGAAAGCGCTTCGTACGCTGGTAACATCGATCACGGCCGACTGGGCGACTTCGAAGGAAACTTGGCAACGAAATACGATGTTGAAGATTGCGAGGCGCGGGAGAAGCCTATCTCTCAGATGTTACATGAGTTGTACGATCACAGTCATGTTTTACGTAATCTTCAACCTCATAAAGTTCCATCGAACCTTACATCAGCCTGAACGGAAGCTTATCTATCAATTCGCTTATCCCTATGACTATGAGAAAAGTCCAAACTACGAAATTACCTTTTTCATACAAATGTCTGGCGGCGCCTTTACGGCCATTGTGAATTCCAGTGTTGACAGCTTCGTCTCGATTCTCGTATTGCACGTGTGCGCACAGCTGATTAATTTACGAACAACGCTCAACGAAACGATCAATAGATTAGCTGAAAAATCTATATCTTCTTCGAAGTTTCGAAGAAGCCTGATCGCGATCGTCGTACGGCACGAGCATCTCATCAGGTACGTCGGCGAACTTCGGCGTGACTTGATCATCTCGGTACAGCGCGTACTTGCCACGTAAAGTTGTCCAACGGCAATGTTGGGTACTGAATAGTTGAAATATTGGTTAACTGAAATATAAAGATATAAAGATAAAGATTAACAGAGAATAAATGATGATTAATTGAACGATTGGCTTCAAACGATTACTTTGATCAGATTGGTCCTACATTGATTAACGAAAAATTTCATCAGTCGATTAAATTATTCATAATTGCATATAAGACAATTCATTAATGACTCATCGATTGTTTTAGGAAAATTTGCTATACTACGATTTTGATCAATTAAGGCCCAACATTGTCCAACCGCCGAGAGCGACAGTCACAGAAAGTACTTATGTAGCAGGCATTTTCATGTGCTGCACCTTCTGCAATAAAATAATTACACATTACCATAAATAATAAAAAATTCTATTACTATTGGTAAAAAGTGGAGGATTATTTTGGGATATCACTGATATTATTTCGGAAATCACTTTATTAATAATAGAATAAGGGAAAGTGAGCGCTGCGCGGCTCTCGACTCTTTACGGCGCAGTCGAGATCTGTACCGAATAAATGAATACCTTTAAAAAATGACTTATATGAATTTTCAAGGAACGTTGAAAGGATCAATGACTGCTACAGCACGGTATTATTTATACATATGATAGCTGCTACTTTTCAATTATGCTTTGAAACTTTTCAGATATTCACGGTAAATTTAATTTTTATATATTTTAATGACATATTATAAAAAAAAACATAGATAAGTATTAAAATTGTAGATTTTTAAGAATGTTGGAATTATAAAGTTTAAATTTTAAAGTATTAAAGATTATAATATAAAAAATATGGTATAAAAGATATAAAGTTATAGCAAAGTATAGATAAAAATTATGGCTATATGTATAGAGATATTTAAAAAATTGTATATTCTAATATTAAAATGTTATACTAAGATAATAATTGCGCTAGATTTCTACGAAACCGTTTAATGTTTATGTACATCCACCGAAATCGAAATTATGTTACTTCCAGATAATTACGGATAAAAGCGCGAACGTCTCTATCATAAAAATGGCTTTTCTCGTGTTTTATGTCACAGTTGTTTTGACGCACTTATATTTTTACTGCTACTCAGCTGAAACACTCTTGGCGGAGGTAAACGACAAGTTGTACTCTTCAATGGCGACTTGTGTAATGCGAAAATTTCATTTTTAGAGTACCAATATGGCATACGGCGTGTACGAATGCAAATGGTACGACATACCATCGAGAGACGCGAAGGATTTGATGTTCATCGCGCATCGATCTAAAATTCCGCTTAAACTGACAATTGGGAAATTCAGTACTTTTTCATTAGAGATGTTTGGAACTGTAAGATATCGGATATGTCATTTGTTCGTCGTTCTAAACGCGAGATTCTTTACGCGTTCTTTACGCAAAATTAAAAATACATTTACTCTTTGTTGCAGACGGTGAAATCGTCAATGGGATACCTATCTGCGTTTCTGTCAATGAGCGATTAGAGAGCGATTAGAGAGAATAATGATAATAACGTAATAATTCGACATAATTGACCACATTCTTCCTACGTTAAATGAATAAATTTGTTTGTATGCACTCTTTGTTTGCTACATGATTTGTACTGACAATACGACTCCTTTCTGTTCCAGTATAAATTGTCTATCCTTAAAAAAACGCAAGACTATTTAATTCTTTTCTTCTCGCCTTACCGTTGAAACAAGTTGACTCGGAAGGATAATATTTGATATTAATGAACGAGTATCTTTATCGAGTGAACGTTTTACTTACATTCGAAGAACGAGCTCGGCGAGTTCGCAACAACTGGCTTAACGTATGACGATTGCATGCCATGCATCGATTATTATCCGAAGAGGTTTACAAAGGTACTCACAGATGGTAGCCATTGTAAATCCTGTTAGTACTGAGCAAGCGCAAAATCACGGCTGTTTGACATGATCGCAAGTAGCGACTCAGTCAAACAATAATTCCCCTTTCGTGAGTTTCAATGAATGTCAAGGAAGGTAGAATAAGTCTCTTTAAAACTAAAAAGCGAGGAAGTTGTTTACCGTGACGTACCGTTAAAATTACATAATAGTGCCGCGAAATTCTTATACGATGCAAAGCAATGCAGTTTACACGACATCACGGAGTGTATTATATATGTAACGGAAATTTTTTCCCCTCGATGGATCTCGATAAAGATCAACCTATGATTATAATTATTATAAATTATTTTCAAGCGGTGTGTCTATAACCGTAATAGTAAACCGAAATAAAAAAAAATATTTATTGAATATCTTTTTGTTCATACGACTCGTTGTTCCTTGCGGCCGAAAATGTTTCTCGCGCGTTTTCAGTATTTTATTCGTATTTTGTTATAAAATAAAATTACTTTATGTCATTTATTATTATTACTTGCTTGAAAAGTATTGGAATGTGATATTTTCAAACGATTTTTTTTTCTTTATTTATTTAATATTAGCTATCAAGCATCAACCGCCTCTTTAAAAAGGCAAACGTAGATGAATGTCGTATGAAAATTAATGTTTATGTTGAATAAAGAGAGAATTTGATCTTATAGCTTCGCCATAAACTATGCGAAAATCGTGTTTCATTACAAGTGGACTATAGATCGGTTATGGAACTTTATGCATCTACAAAAGTTTCCACAATTGTCGGTATCGAAGTTTATTTCAGCTTTGTATACTAGCAAAAAAATATTCGCTTTTATTCGAGATAGAGATTCACTGAAGAGTTTTTGCGTTCGCAAAGTTCGAAGCACGTTGGGAGAAATAAATTGGGAGAAATAAACGTTTGAAATATGTGAACCATATGTGAACGAATCGGTCTTTGTCATCATTCAGTGCAATTAAATCAAGAATTGTGTAATATTTCGAAAAATGAAGAAATAATCAATGTAGTAATCTTTTTTTCTAAAATTAACTTTAAAAATTTTGCACGACAATAACGATAATATCCGTACGATGAAAAGCAATGTAATTAGAAAAATACTTGAAACATTGAAATGTTTCAATCCTTATCTTAAAATAATGATATTATATTTGGTCTTATATTTCGTTACATTGACATTCATTTTATTTGAACGAGTGTAGCTCCATATCGATATAACAAGATGATGCTTTTTTCTGACATTTATCTCTGATAGATTTACATCACACTTTCTCCTTGTGTCGTCAATTCTTGCGATTAGCAGGCGTATGGCCCGATCCAGATGCCTCTTTGAGTGACTTTCGTCGGTCGAAGTTAAGATTCATAATCATAGTGTGTATCTTGATCATGTACGTGTGTGTACCGCAATTCTCGAATGTGATACATTCTTGGGGTAACATGAATTTAGTGATACAACATATCGCCAGCGCTAATTACAGCTTTTTGGCATGTTGCAAGCTAGTTGTCGCGCGATATTACAATGAAAGTAAGTAATCATTGCCTTTCTATCAATAAATTAAATAGATATCTAATTCATTAATTAATTAACCGATGTTGTTTATTCCGTAAAATAATGTGGAACATCAGATTTTTCTTTAATTTACGTGTGATACAATACTGGCTTATGTTATCGTGATCGACTTTGGAATTTTGTAACATACATACATCCACGCACATACATTTAGCCCCAGTTTCACTTACGGTTAACATTTTTTATAACTCATCTTTCCTCGTCTAATGTTTAATATATCATTTCTTTACAAATATAACATCTCTAAAACTCGTCAGATAAAAGTGTACTTATTTTATTTTTTTTATTTTTTTAGAGCGATATTGTATTAGTATACTTTATGCTTTATGCGACATGAATTGCTTAAATTATAACTTATTACAGAGCAAAATAAATAATATTATTCTCGCTTTCATGAGTATATGAGTTTGTAGAAGGAAGAGCGGATAATTTGTAATATTGGGTTTGTGAAAATATGTATAAAATTATTATTTCAATAATTAAATCATGCTTTTATGAAAGAAAAACATACAGTATATATACCCGCGCATGTTTACGTGGCCTTTTTAGGATTCCCATGAATGCTTTCGACCTTGACTTCTCAAATAACAGCTCAAATTGACACACACGAAATATTTGTTTTCGGTTTCGGCCGGTATTCAAAGAAAGTTCTTTCGGTCGGACTCTCTAATTGTCAGCAAATTGTAAAAAATCAGCATCTTTATCTATATAGATATACTATATATATGTTATTTAATAAAAGTCGAGCCGAATTTATGACTGACCTAATGCATCACTTTTCTATCTGAAAGCACTTCGTACGCTGATAACATCAATCACGGTCGACTGGGCGACTTCGAAGGAAACCTGGCAACGAAATACGATGTTGAAGATCGCGAGGCGCGGAAGAAGTCTGTCTCTCAGATGTTACATGAGCTGTATGATCACGGTCATGTTTTACGTAATCTTCAACCTCATAAAGTTTCACCGAACCTTACATCAGCCTGAACGGAAGCTTATCTATCATTTCGCTTATCCCTATGACTACGAGAAAAGTCCAAACTACGAAATTACCTTTTTCATACAAATGTCTTGCGGCGCATTTACGGCCATTGTGAATTCCAGTGTCGACAGCTTCGTCTCGATACTCGTGTTGCACGTGTGCTCACAGCTGATTAATTTACGGACGACGCTTAACAAAACGATCGATAAATTAGCTGAGAAATCTATATCTTCTTCGAGGTTTCGGAGAAGCCTGACCGCGATCGTCGTACGGCACGAGCATCTCATTAGGTACATCGGTGAACTTCGGTGTGTGACTTGATCATCTCGGTACAGCGCGTACTTGCCACGTAAAGTTGTCCAACGGCAATGTTGGGCACTGAACGGTTGAAATGTTGATTGACTGAAATGATAAAGATTAACGGAGAATAAATGATGATTAAATCGAATGATTGCTTCAATCGATTACTTCGATCGGATTGGTTTTACACTGATCAATGAAAAATTTCATCAATCGATTAAATTATTCATAATTACATATATGACAATTGATTAATAACTTGTTGATTGTTTTAAGATAATTTACTATATTACGATTTTGACTGATTAACGCTCAACATTGCCTAACGACCGAGAGTGACAGCCACGAGAGTACTTATGTAAGAGTCATTTTCATGTGCTGCTTCTGCAATGAAATAATTACATATTAACATAAATAATAAAAATATTGCTATTGAAAAAAGTGGAGGATTACTTGGGATATCACTGATATCATTTCGGAAGTCATGTTATTAATAATAAGATAAGGGAATATGAGCGTTGAGCGGCTGTCGACTCTCGACGGCATAGTCGATGTTTCATAGTCGAATGAAAAAATGAATAGCGTTGAAAAATCAGTTATATGAATTTTCAAGGAGCGTTGAAAGGATCAATAACTGCTACAGTACGGTGTTATTCATACATATGATAGCTGCCACTTTTCAACTGTGCTTTGAAACTTTTCAGATATTCACGGTAAATTTAATTTTTATATATCTTAACGACGTATTGTCACGTGAATATAATGATAGATAGCGTTGAATTTTTCCGAGAAACTACTTTTAGCTTTACCCAGGAACAACGACGAGGACGTAGTAGCTTTCTGTTCCCTTCGGGGTGCTTGTTTTAGGTGAATCCCCTCGCCTCTCACCATCGGGGTGCTTGTTTTAGGTAAGTCCCCTCGCCTCTCACCATCGGGGTAGTTTCTCGGAAAAATTCAACGCTATCTATCATGAATGAAGAAAATTGTTTCCATAAAAACTTCACGTAAAATCTAATTCTGCAATGAAAAATGTGGGTTCTCATTTGAGATTTGAACGTTACCACCCACCCTACCCTGAAGGGATGAAAGGGAATAACTGTTATTATGTTTTTTAAAAATATTTTTAAAAATATTGAACAGGTATTTTTTTATTTTTCAATCCAATGATCATTTCTGGAGAATTGCAGAAAATTTAATGTTTTGCGATTACAGCGCCATCTATCACGAATAAAAAAAAAGTTTCGAACGAAACTTATGTATTTTGTGGAGTAGAATCCGAATCTGCAATAAAAAAATGGGGGTTCCCATTTAAGATTTCAAAGTTACCTCCCACCCCCACCTCCTGAAGTGGGGTGGGAGGTCGAGTTTAATATCATTGGATGTCCCCCTTCGAGACGAATAAATTTCATTACCCACTTTTCTTGATCCGACATGTAGTTTTCCAGATATTACTATTTGTCAGGTTAAATGGGACACCCTGTATAATTCAAATTTTAAAGTATCAAAAATTATGGTATAAAAAATATGGTACAAAACATATAAAGTTATAGTAAAGTATAGATAAAAATTATAGCTGTACGTATAGAAGTGTTAAAATATGATATATTTTAATATTAAAATATTATAGTAGAGAGATAATTGTGCTAAATCTCCATGAGACCGTTTAATATTTAATGTGCACCCACCGAGATCGAAATTATATTACTTCCAGATAATTACGGATAAAAATGCGAACGTCTCCATCATAAAAATGGCTTTTCTTGTATTTTATGTCACGATCGTTTTGACGCATTTATATTTTTACTGCTACTCAGCTGAAAGACTTTTGACGGAGGTAAGCAGCGAGCTCTATTTCTCAATAGCGACTTGTGTGACGCGAAAATTTCATTTTTAGAGTACCAATATAGCGTACGGCGTATACGAATGCAAATGGTACGACATACCATCGAGAGATGCAAAAGATTTGATGTTTATCGTATATCGATCTAAGATTCCACTGAAACTGACAGTTGGAAAATTCGGTATTTTTTCATTAGAGATGTTCGGAACGGTAAGATATCGGATGCGTTTGTCTGTCGTTCTGAATTTATGCGAGATTAAAAACAAAAATTTACTCTTTGTTGCAGACGGTGAAATCGTCAATGGGGTACCTGTCTGCGTTTCTATCAATGAGTGATTAGAGGGAATAATGATGATAACGTAATAATTCGACGTAATTGACCACTTTCTTCCTACGTTAAATGAATAAATTTATTTGTACGCACTCTTTGTATGCTACATGACTTGTACTGACGATATGACTCCTTTCTGTTCCAATATAAATTGTCTATCCTTAAAAAAACATAAGACTATTTAATTCTTTTCTTCTCGCCTTATCGCTGAAACAAGTTGACTCAGAAGGATAATATTTGATGTTAGTGAACGAGTATCCTCATCGAGTGAATGTTTTACTTACATTAGAAGAGCGAGCTCGATGTTCGCAAGAACTGATTTAACATATGACAATTGCGTGACGTGTATCTTATTATCGATTGTCATCCGAAAGGGTTTACAAAAGATATTCACAGTTGGTAGCTATTGTGAATTCTCTCGCAGTACTGAGCAAGCGCAAAATCACGGCGGTTTGACATGTTCGCGAGGTACGACTCAGTCAAACAATAATTTCCGCTACGCGAACTTCAATGAGTGTCAACGAAGGTAGAACAAGATTCTTTGGAACAAAAGAACGAGAAAGTTATCTACCGCGACATTCTGTTTAAAATTGCGTAATCGTATAGTGAAATTCTTACGTAATGCAACGCAGTTTATGTAACGTCATAGAGTGTTATAACTGAAATTTTTTTCCCAAGGTTTTCACTAATTTTTCGAATCTCGTAAGAAAGATCAATCTGTAAATTATTATAAATTTCTGTCACGTAATATCAAACGCAGAGAGCAAATCAAAAGAATACAATATCAAGTATCGAATATTTGACACTTCGTCAAACGTGCTGTTCTTTACGGCACTAAAGGTTTTATGTATTTTCAGTTCTTAGTATTTTTTTCCTCTGCTAAATTTGCATCATGTTTTCTTAATATTTCGTTGTTAACGGAAAGTTGCTTTGTGTAATTCATTTGTATTACTTGCTTGAGAAGTATTTTAATGCAATATTTCTAAGAAATCATATTTAATGTTATCAAACGTTGTTTGATTTCAATAAAGAAATGTAAATAAACATTATATAACTAATGGTTATGTTACATAAGGAGGAAATTTTATTTTATCATTTTGTTGTCAAACCTTGTTGTCAAACTTGCAAGAATCATGTTTTACATCGATAAATCCATAGGTCCGTCACAGAACTTTATGTTTCCACGAAAGTTTCCACAAATTGGTACCGAAGTTTATTCTAGCTTTGTACACTAACAAAAAATGTTCGCTTTTACTCGAGGTAGAGATTCACTGAAATGTTTTTGCGTAGCAAAGTTCGATACGTCGCGAGAAATAAGCTATCCGAAATGCTATCATGAACGAATCGATCTTTGTTTTCATCCAGTACAATTAAATCAAGAACTGTGTATCACTCCGAAAAATGAAGAAATAATCAACGTAGTAACCTTTTTTCCCTAAAACTAATTTCGAAAGTTTTACATAAAAATAATAACAATGATATCCGCGCGGCGAGAAATAATATAGTTAGAAAAATACGTGAAATATTGAAATATTTCAAACTTTATTTTGAAATAATGGTATATTATATTTGGACTCATATTCCGTTACTCGTTGACATTAATATTTATCTATACGTGTATAATTTTATATTGATATAACGAGAGATGATGCTTTTTCCTGAAATTTACCTCTACTAGATTTGCACCACACTTTCGCCTTGTGTCGCCAAGTCCTGCGATTACTAGGCATAGGGCCTGATCCAGGTGCCTCTTTGAATGATTTTCGTCGGCTCAATTTAAGATTCATGACTGCAGCGTGCCTCTTGAGCATTTTCGTGTTCCTACCGCAATTTATGAACGTGGTACGTCTTTTGGGTAACTTGACCTTATGGATGCAACACATTGCCGCTGCTAATTTTAGCTTTATGGCATTTTGCAAACTGGTCGTTACCTGGTATCACGGTAAAAGTAAGTAACAATTTTCTAACAGTAAAAATAGATGTATGGCCAATTAATCAATTAGGCGATATTATTTATTGACTAAAATCATATCAGATTTTTCAGGTTTCCATTTATCATATATGTAATATACATAGCACTTATATGTAATATAGCATTAACCTTTTTCGAAATCATCTCTCCAACGCGCGACGACAATTGTCCGAGAAATTTTTGTCCGAATCTGATGTATAATAGTTTGATGTAATTGATGTTTATATTAATAATCGATCAGTCAACAGATTCAGCTGAATTTTTTAATAAAATTTTACTTAATTGCATGCAGTTGCATGGCTATAGAATTGTATATTAAAGTTTACTTTTACAAGATATAATATATTGTACTGTAAATTTTATAGAAACATTATTATTATTATATAGTTTTTATTATTTCTCAAAAATATATTTTATTCGAATTTTATATTTATACATGTTTAAATTTCATTATATACAGTTATTCAAGTTATATATTCACATATGTTTAACTTTTATTACATAACATTTATTACATGAGATTACGGCCACGGCCAGAGAACAAATGTTTCCCTCGCGATAGCTAATCAAACGTATGACGATCGTGCGGTATTCTATCGGCTATCTACTCGTACGTAAAAGGGGTAGGTAAAAGTGGGGGTTGAACCCTTCATGCACCGAGCAAGCGCGAAATCACTATTCGGCGTGGTCGTGAGGAGCGATTCACAATCAATCAAACGATTATTTCCGTGAACTTCAATGTGTGTTGACAAAAGTAGAACAAATTTTGAAAAAAAGTGAAAATAGAAAGAAAATTTCACATCGCGATGTCCGATTAAAGTTTCATAATTGCGCCGTCAAATAATTATGCAATGAGAAGATATTTATGTGCGATTACAAAAATATGTTAAGTAAATTCTTTGATCTCGATGAAAAACGGTCATCACAAATTGTTATTCGCGGTGACATTAATCAGGGTAAAATATATGCAAATTGTCGAATAATTTACTCCACGTGCGGCGTTCATCCAAAGAAATGTGGAGCCCGTCTTTGCTATTTCCTTGATATCTCATTGTTAATCACAAAAATTTACCATATATTTCGCTTCACTCACGTAGCTGAAAAATATAAAGCTGAAAAACACAAAGGATAGTTCAATTTTTGTTTTGTCAATCGTTTAAAATACACTTTTTATTCAATATATTTTCTACAGAATAATAGGGAAAACAAATGAAATATAAATGAAATATTACATTTATATAACTGACGAATATATTAATTATGTACAAGGTGTAATTTGCACTTTATATTGTTGTTTATCATATGCCAGATATAACAGAAAGTAATGGCGATTACTTGGTAAAATAAATGAATAGTTTTTAATAAAATTGCTTTTTTTATCACGAAATCCAAAAATTTTGTACTCAATATAATTTATCCTAAAATTTTGTCCAATAATATATAATCTAGTTATTATATCATATTATATTACACTACACTAGCATGTTAAAATTCAGTGTAGATTCCAATTAAGCTTACGTTTATTAATTAAGCTTATTTCACAAAAATCTTAAGGCAGCGAAAGTGATAGTTATATCGCTGGCTGGCAATTAACGACACTCTATTGAATTTTTATTCGGATATACCTAATAAGTCGGTATTGTACGGCATGCGAATAATGTAGGAATTTTGAAGGAATACGAAAAGACAATCGATAACTGCTACAGTGCGGTGCACTGTTTGTGCACATAGTAGCCGCTACTTTTCAGCTGTGTTTCGAAATATTTCAGATTTTCACGGTAAGTGAAACAGCTCGCGCGTATATTCTCTCGCTTTTGATCTTCGCGTGTGCTTCATAATTGACATAATTTCTTAACAAAGGTAGCTATTTAAATGTACAAGGTGTTCAAAAAAAGGCCCTATACTCTTACAAGGTAGATAGTACTCATTGAAAGTACTAAATAAAAGAGCTCACTGAGCACAAGTCGAAATATCGACCTCTCCAAGAGTTACAAATGTTTTTCGATTTTGATAACGCAAGTTATTTGTATGTACGACTCGTTAAGTTGTTACTTGTACGAAGAACACATCAAGCTTGCGTTTTACGTTACATTCGACGTGACTGTCTCTGCCATTATTACAGTGTACGACAATAAAAATTATTTCACTTGGTGAATTTAACTCCTTTTAGGTGGTGAAGAGGTCAATGGGATCTGCTTTGCTGGCAATGAGAGATTGATGGATATAATTCAAAATGGAAACAATGCGAACACGAATATCTGTCAAGCACAATGATTGTCAAGCGACTTTCACGATTAACGAATAAGTTGTTTTTATATACGCGTAACATTCTTTACTTTAACAAATATACACTTCCTGTGCGAGAATACAAGCTATTTATTTATCTCCGCTTAACGACAACGTAATTTCTTTACCCAAATTATGTCGCTTCGTTATTAAGCGATCAAACGATAACGTTCGTCTGTCGATGTGCGTTTACTTGCGCGCGATCAGAATTTCACGCACTTTGTCGAGCAGGCATAAATAAGTTTTCAGCCGACAGATCGATTCAGAAGCGTCGTCGCACAAAGTGGCATCTTCCTGCGGCTTAACTTTAGAGCACACGCAGGGTAACTTCACTTTCCGCATCGGAGCATGCGTGATCCTGAGAGAAGGGGAATGGAAAAACGACGGCAAAATTATTATGTCAGTCGTTGCGCCGTCGACATCCGTTAAGTATCAATGAATGCTGATCAAGGTACGCGCGGTGGAGAACGGACTTATAGCTGTGCTTATGCGCTTCGTGTAAATCGTTTTGCGAAATTATACGAAACTGTAATTTTTCGCGGTTATGTATAGAGTGTTCGAAAAAAAAGTTCTAAACTTTTAGAATAGGTAGCACTCATCATATTGAGTAAAAAGTATTTGGTAAACATAGGTAAAAAAATCAAGCCATTAGAATTACGTTACCATTACAAACGTTTTTACGAACAAATATATTTTGTTATTGTTTTGTTTAATAAATGGTGTCCTCCTTTCATTTCTACACACATGCAACTGGTCCACCTCGTCCAATTCATCTTTCGAAGAATGTTCTATTCAAATGCTGTCACGCAGACAGTATCTTTTGTAAACGCCGAAGTAATAAATGGTGAGAATACTCGTTCGTGTATGTGATCGATGGAACGCACACGAATAATTTGCGTCACCAAGGCCGAGGAACATTTGTAACACTTATAAAAGGGTTAATTTTTCGGCCTATGTTTGCCAGATATATATTTTCACTTATTGTTAGTACAATGAGTACTATTTACCCTTTAAGTTTGGAACTCTTTTTCTGAACATCCTGTATATTTTATATATCTGAAATCGAGACATACGTCAGTTCTCACGATACATACGTCATGCGTATATCGAAAACTTACTTTTCTTTACCGAATCTTTAAGCAAGTTCCATTTGCGTAGACTTGAGTTTCGCGATCGGATGGAATCGGTTGAATTTGGGCCTCGTCGGCATTTGGCCTGACCCGCTGCAGGGTCCTGGCCAAAGTGGCGGGCTCTCCAGATGTCGATTTCTCATAGCCAGCTTCCTCATGTTGGGTTTCATATGTATACCGCAATCGGTGAATCTCTTTTTCATTTGGGGCAACGCTGAAATGATGACTGAGAACTTGGCGACCGCGAACATTCCGGTCACGAACGCCTTCATGAAAGCCTTCACCATGTGGCATCACAGAAAAGGTACGAAGGTGAAGAGTATTATTAGCAAATATAGCGATGTTTCGTAAGATCTGGATAATAATGGAATACCAGAGAAGAGGTCTTCGTCGAAAAGGTTTCGTCACCGTTTATACATAATTTTGCAATGTATCATCTCGAGTTTTATTAGTTATTATTACTTATTCGCTAATTTTTTATTAGTTATTAGTTGTTATTTATTAGTCCTTAGTCGTTAGCTGTCAGCTACTAGTTTTTAGATTCCGTGTTTATTTTCTGAGCAGTTTCAGCTACCTGTTAGGATTTATATTATAGGATTATGTGAGTTATTTCTTATTTTATTGCTTAATATTCATCAAGCACCGGGATGTGTGGGATCAGAAACGAGACCATGGCGATCGAATCAGGTTGAGTGGTTCGGGGAGAAATTGGTGTTTTCGAAGGCAATAAGAAAGCCCGTGTTTTCATCCAGACATGCAAAATGAAATATTTTCCCGAAGCCCTGAAGCCGTTGGTCGACTTCTTCTACCAAGATTGGCATGCGTCGAAGACGTTGTACGAGAAGGTGGTCATGCTGAGGAGTGCATCGGTCGCCCGGAAAATATCCATCTGGTGCACGGTACTTACGCAGACCATGGTGACTCTTTACATCGTGCTTAGAATTTCAGTCATCGTCAGGTTGCAGCGGAACGACCCTGCCCGTCCCTTGATATACACGGCCTATTTTCCTTTCGACGTCAGTCGAAGCCCGATTTTCGAGCTGGTCTGCTTGGGTCAGATCCTGTCGGCCTACAGCAGTACTGCGTCCTACACCGGCACCGTCAGTTTCATTTCCATGCTGGTGCTTCACGTCTGCGGTCAGTTTCTCTCTCTGCGAGAGAGACTGAAGAACATCGCCGACGGAGTGAAAACGGTCGAGGAGTTCAGGGACGAGCTGGCGCAAATCGTGAAGAGGCACGAGCATCTGAATTGGTTCGTAATTTCAGACTGACGGAGCAAAAACGGATGTTTCTTGCCCTTTGTTTGTGCCGTCACCGCCCTTCTCATCACTGATCAGCGAATATGTCAATGATTTAAGGTTTGCGAAAACGATCGAGGATTCCTTCAATATGGTGCTCTTGATGCAAATATTTTCATGTACCGTTCAGTTGTGCTTTCAAGGTTTCCAGGTCTTTAATGTGAGTGAAAATTTGAGGCACCTTCAGTTTTCATAGTTCGCTTTTTACACTTATCATCGCATTTTGATACTTTAGTATTTTTCTTATCGCATCCGTCGTTCGATCCGCATTGGCCCTCTTATTTTTTTAATTAGTTGTATTTGAATTAAATTTTCTGCCTATTGTTAATTAGATATCTTATGAGCGATATGAAGGAATAAATATTTTTTTCTCCAGTCGTACGGATCTTTTACAAGTGTTAGCCTTGTGTTCTTTTATTCTCTAATTATCAGCTTTCCATCTGCTTTGTCGTAGCGAAGCAGAATAGTACAATTAATAGCAGAAATATTTCAGATAATAATCAACGGCAGAGACGAATCATTAACCTTCCAGTTAATCTTTCTAGCCATGTTTGTAGCCTTCATTTTAATTCACTTGTACGTTTATTGTTACATCGGCGAGATGTTGCTCGTGCAGGTAAGATGCACAAGTAGTATATCGTACATTTGAGTAATGCTATTTTCTATTTATTTATTTGAGTAATGCGATCTTGCACCGCTCATCGCGGGTAAAAAAGAAAAATCGAATAAAAAAATTCGATCCTCGATCATCAGAGTCTACTGAACTCAATTTTAGTTTCTCACTTTCACTTTTGAGGGATTGTAATTATTTGTGAAGATTAATATATTTCACAACTTTTATTCTTTCTCAAAAGTTTTTTTAAAGAGCAACAAAAGTTTACTTATTCTTCTTCAGAATAGAATAAATCGAGTATTTAATTCAATTAATATCACGATGATAGACTAAGGCTTAAAGAACGTTTCGTTAAATAATATCGAACGACGAAGAGTGAGATCAATAATAATCAATCGAAATCGGATGAAGTTCGCAAGCGCGACGCGTTCAAGCGATATCTTCTATGCAAGTCTTTCGAGGATCAATATTTTTAGTCGCCTTTCCTCGTGCGTGTGTATATGAACATGATAATTATCGATCGATTTAGTGCGATAATAGAACGTAACGGAACAAACAACGCACATACCTACGCGAGATGAAAACATAAATCCAGAATGTAATAATTTCTTTAATTTACCAATTAATAATTGCGATATTATTTTTGTTTTTTTAAACAAGGATACTGATTTGTTAATATTTATGCGTTAAATATTGAACACTGAATCGATCATAAAGAAATCGATTTGGTTCTTTAATTGAAGTTAACTTTACTGCATTTTCCACGGAAACAAATGACTCGTCAATTGAGAAATTCTCATCGTTGCGCGGAAGAGTTGCTTTGTCACAAAGTGTGACCGATTTATACTGATTCGGTGATTCGAGAAAGATCCATAGAAAATCGAAAAATTGTATACTTTATAATTGATTCGATTGTGACATTTAAGAGCACCGAGATAGGATTCTCCGCGTACGAATCCAACTGGTTCAATGTACCAGGGAAGGAAGCGAGAAACCTTTTGCTGATCATGCACAGATCGACGATGCCGCTTTGTTTAACCGCCGGGAAATTCGGCGTGTTCTCCTTGCAGATGTTCAGTAAGGTAAATACCGAGTCAAAATTTATAAAAACAAAAACGATCGCGTGCAATTTTCACGATCGTGACGTGCAAACAGTCCGTTAAACCACATCTCGACGTCCTCCTCCGAAAATCATAAATTTGTAAAACTTACTTGTCAAGCTTTTGATCAATTTTGAAAAACGTCGCTTTTAGTACATTTTCTCAATTAATTTTCCGATAGCAAGATATCGTAAGCGTCGTGCGCTCCAACACACTTTTTGTATTGTATTATATTAGGTGTGTGAATTAATTCGGTCCATCTGGTGGTCAATTGCTGTACTATATAACTTTATAACCTCTAATGTCTGCAAAAGGCTTTATTTTTTAGTTTTGATATCTGGCAGTAATATTCAGTTGATAAATGTTTGGATTTGTAACAATAACATTGTGTTTATCTGATTCGAAAATGTCGAAATTCGAGCCAAAAAAGCATCATTTTCGGGAAGTTCTCATTTTCTGTTTTCATTTGAAGAAAACAGCCGTTGAAGCTCATCGAATGCTCGTAGAAGCTTATGATGAAAGTGCTCCCACCGATAAATCATGCAGAGAATGGTTTCGACGTTTCAAAAATGATGATTCCAGTGTCGATGACAAACCTCGTCCGGGTCAGCAAAAGAAGTTCGAGGACGAGGAATTGCAGGCGCTAATCGATGAAGATCCGTGTCAATCGCAACATGAGCTCGCGCAATTGTTGAATGTTGATCGATCAACAATTTCTGTGCGTTTGGCAGCCATGGGAAAGATTTACAAAGAAGGAAGATGGGTGCCATACGAAAGAACTGAAAGAAAGAGGCATCGAGAGGCGAAAAGTCATGTCTGAAATCTTGTTTGCCAGGCAAAAAACAAAAGGTTTTTTGCATCGTATTGTGACTGGAGACGAAAAGTGGATATATTTCGATAATCCCAAACGAAGGAAATCCATTAGCGACCCAGGAAAACCATCCACATCGATACCACAAAGCGGAATATTCACGGCAAGAAAGTAATGCTCTGTATATGGAGGGACTAGAAGGGTGTAGTGTATCATGAACTTAAAACTTAAAACAGAGCCAAACCATCACTGCCGAATTTTATCAACAACAATTGATCCGTTTAAACAACGCATTGAAGAATAAGCGGCCGGAATATGCAAAGAGACACGACAAAGTGATCTTCCAGCACGATAACACTCGGCCACATGTTGGAAAGATTGTGAAGGCCACCTTGGAAGCACTTGGCTGGGACGTTTTATCTCACCCGCCGTATTCACCAGACATTGCTCCATCCGATTATCACTTGTTCGGATCGATGGCACACGGGCTTTCGGACCAGCACTTCAACAATTATGAAGAAATAGAGAAATGGCTCAATGAATGCATCGCTTCGAAGGACGAGTCGTTTTTCCGTCACGGAATGCAACAATTGCCAGACAGATGGGAAAAAATAATAGCAAGCGATGGCAAATACTTTGATTAGTGTACTTTTTTATGTTTTTTCATACTAAAGTCTTTTTTTGGAAGAAAAAAAACGGACCGAATTAATTCACGCACTTAATATTTCGCTTCCTTTCTTTTCGTCGCATCGAATTTTATCATCTCATTCTAGATCGTGAGAAGCTCACTCGGTTACCTGTCGGTGCTGCTGACCGTAACCAATAGCAAAGAGTAACTCCAGCCGGATAATATCGATCGTGATTACGACGACGATCGTCACGCATGATTGTCGTGGTTGAGCAGTTTTGATCCGCCGCATGTCGCAACGTGTTGGATGTTTTCCAGATGCGCTTAGATATTTTCCTCGAAATGTACGTCAACATCACGCTGTTATAAATGCAATAAATGCGGATGCAAACAACACACGAGAGGTCGCCTCGCCGATTCAGGGATTTCAGTCGCTTGTTTCCTCAGAGAACGCAATCGCTACAGCCGGAGGACACGGCCCTCTCGTCCGCATGTGCAGTGTCTAAATTATTCCGCCGGGCTGGATCGACGATTGAAACTTTACCGCTAGCGATCTTGGCGTTCTTTCTCGTATCGTCGACGAGCATGCATAATGAGCAACCCTTTGGGGCGATTTCGAAGGGAACGGTCAGTCGTCGAAACGACGAGGTTGCGGCGGTACCTAAAAAAGAAAAAAACAACAACGTTGAGCTACCTGTCCGTTGCTTTTTTTTACCGAGCGCATAGTCGGCGAAGTTTATCTTCGCGATATTCGTCGACGTTTCTGGCGCTTGCGCGTTTGCCGTTTTGCCGAGGAAGATCGGGCTTCAGCAACCCTCGCTTAAACGTTCCAACGTTCCAACATTCGCAACTCTGTCCTGCTGATTTTCTCGCTATTTTTCTTTTCCCGTTCTTGTCATTGACGTCAGAAATAATTAATACCGGAAGCTAATATATCATATCAAGCATATGTATATTGATGTACACTCAGTGATGAAGTGATCGTTGGCAGTCAAAACGCGAAGCTACAAGATCGAGGATCGCGACAGGTCGTTGAAATTGAGCTTTGAGCTCTGATTCGCCGAGGATGGATTTGATGAAGATCGAGTTGGGTTGGAACAAGTACAATATGTGGATGTTAGGCGTCTGGCCCGAGCCGACCAAGACTTCACGAGCAAAGCAGCACCTCTCGAAGCTGATCTTTTGGTCGACGTCCACCATCGCGTTGCTGTTCGTGTGCCTGCCAATGAACGCGCACTTGTTCATCGTGCCCACAAATCTGAACGAAGTGATACATAATCTGTCGGTGAACGTGCCGACTTTCTTGGCTTTCGTCAAACAGCTGTTCTTGCGATATCACGGGGAAGGTATTTGCATGCGTTTTAATTTCGTGTCCTTCTAGTCAAAGCAGTCCCTTGATTGGCGGAAACGTAAAAGTGCGTCTTAGTAATTCTGGTAGTTCAACATCTTTAAAATTGAGTGTTTCAAGATTCTCCGGTTCTCTCTATTCAATGGTGAATTTTTTAATTCAAAATTCAAGATGATGAATACAATATAGCTGAGCTAAAATCGAAAAAATGTTGAAGTTTTAGAAAAATTTTGAAATATCGTACGTTGAGGTTTTCAAAATCGCTCTTGAATGAAGAATTTTTTAAATAAAATCTCGAAATGGCGAGTTCTCAAACCAATGTAGACGGCTAAAATGAAATGTTATCCACATATTATATAACTTGTCGTTATAAGCTTTGTTTACTCGTTATTTCGATATTTTGTAGATTTTATAGATAAAAATTTTGTATGTTTTCAGTGTTTATCTTTTGTCATAACACATCCAGTTTTATCTTGCTGAGATAAATTACGATTTTATTTGGGTCCACCATTTTGAATCTGAAAAATTTTGTCTTCACTCGTAAATAGTGAGCTCAAAAATATCTAGACACAAAAGTTTTATGACACTGCTTAACTTTTAAAAATCCGTTTTTCGCCAGTCTGAACACTTTTGAAAAGTTCAATTTGCCAGTCGAGGGGTTAATCTCAATGTCACACAAATATCGCGGATTGTTGTAAGCGGCAGGCCGAAGTGTATCGAACAGAGATCTGTCCCAAGCTCTGACGCTGCTGGTTCGTCAGATACTGGACGACTGGACGCGGCCGATACCGAAAGTGGAGAGGCAAGCGATGCTGATAAGCGCCAAGAGAAGCCGCTGGATATCCATTCTGAGCTCTACATTCACGTACCTCTTGCTGATCACCTTCACCACGATGTCGGTTTGGAACAATATGCAGCACTCATTCGAGGTGAAACTGTACGGTATGCCGTTTCCGACGATCTTCCCCTACAACTGCAATAAGAGCCCGAATTTCGAGCTCACGTGGCTCGGCGAGACCATAGGCGCGATCATCGTAGCTAACGGTTACTCGTGCTTCGACACGTTCTTGGCGATGCTGACGCTGCACCTGTGCGGCCAATTGGCGGTGCTGAACATTAACATGAGGAACCTGGTGGACGCGACCCGGCACGACGACTTCGTCAACTTTCAAGAGAGACTGGGCTTGATCGTACACAGGCACGAAGAGCTTCACAGGTTGGCGACATCGAATCTTTCTTGTTGCGCACAGTCCTGCAGGGAGAACATATCGCGATGGGAATCACGCTAAAATCATATTTCTTTCTTTTCTATATCACTTTTTGCGATAATTCGTAAAGCTGCGTTATACCGATGCGTACTGTAACATGCATTACCGTAGAGATAGTGAACTCGACGAACTCGACAGTCGAGGACGAGTTGAGTCCGTTACCTATGACTTGATTCAAGGTATGCTACCGTCGTCGAGGATTACTTCAATATCGCTCTGCTCGCGCAAACGTTGGTCGGCACAGTGACGTTCTGTATAAGTGTGTACCGCTTGATTACAGTGAGTCAGACAGAATAAATCGCTTGATCTTTGGAGAATATCCGTGTCTGGATGTCCGCTTCAGTACACGTGTGTCGTGACACTTTGTGATTGTAGAACCGAGACCAGGGGGTGGCTGATTTGATGTACTTCGTTATACAAGTACTGTACACGACGATACACTTCTTCTTTTACTGTTATATCGGCGAGCAGCTTCTCGCTGAAGTAAGTGCACGAACGATGTCTCTTTGGTGCGAACAATGGTTGCGTTCAACAGAGAGAAAGCTGCTTTGCAACTGTTGTAAAATTCGTGAATCTAATTGGCGTGTGCTCTTAAATTTGGCTGAATCTAAAAACATGCACCAATTAGATTAACGAATTTTACAACAGTTACAAAGCAGCTTTCTCTGCTGAACGTATCCAATGTCTCGCGAGCTTTGATCCATCTTCGGAATCGAATCGTTCTCTTCGGACGTTCTCTTCAAGATTGAATCCTGCCTTGAGAAAATTTCAAAAGGCGCGCGCCGACGTCTCGCTCCTCCACAACTTTGCTACGGGCTTGCGAGAATTGTCATCGACGAAAGCTCCATTCTCGCGAGAATCAGCGGCGGATAATCGCTCGATTTTTCTGTCTCTCACTGTTCTCCCGCGCTCATCCTGATCCTTTTTTTTATACAGAGCACAAACGTGGCGCAATCAGCGTTCGATTGCGAGTGGTATGACTTACCGCCGAGGAAGGCGATCTCCTTGACAATCATCATAATGCGAGCGAATACATCGTTCAAATTAACGGCGGGAAAGTTCAGCCCGTTCTCCTTCGAACTGTTTAGTACCGTAAGTTTTATTCGAAGACACTTTGCTTAATAATTAAGTCTGTTCTTTCTTTGGTTGTGTCAGCTTGCGTTTTCTTCTTTTAAAGCGCGATTAATATACCGGGTGTCTAGAGCAATACGTACAGCCGTTTGTGTGCAAATACAGCCGATCAAACTGGACGAAAACAAGTTCTTTACTATTTCGCAACTCTGATTACTTTAACTTTGATTGAGTTTTGAAATAATCGATGATAATCAACGTGGCAGTCGGTGTGTTAATAAATAAAAAAATGTTCAAAATATCGACGCTTTTTAGGATTTTTCTCTCTTTCTTTCCTTTCAATTTAATCTGTAATTTACTTACACTTATAAATATCATTTAATTTTTCCAAAAGTCTCATCCGGTTTCTTTTCAGATCTTGAAAACGTCTGCCGGTTATGTATCGGTGCTATTGGCGATGAACGACAAAGTGACCGAACAGTAATAATGTTACAAGTTGCATCTAGGATTGACGAGATGCACTGCCGTTAAACTGTGTTACGTAGTAATAATAATATTTCTCGATCGATATGTATGTCCCAGACGAATCCAAGAGATGGCATTAGTGTATTAGCGTATCTGCAACGCAATTAACGCGGCAATAATAACAATATGTTGTCAGAAATTTGATGAATATTGTTTTTCTTTTTCTTTTTTTAACGTCGGTCGATAGTCGCAAAACACACGCAGTGACCGCGTGAGTCCCGTGCGCTGTTGGCTTTCACTTGTTGACTTCTCCGATAGAGGGAACCTTCTCACTATAAAATCATTCTCGATAAAATATAGGCTATAGTATAGAATGATAAATTGTTACTCTTTTTGTTTGCATAATCAGCGAGAAAAAGTTGCGATGCATCTCTTCGAAGTATTTTCGAAAAGGAAATTGTTCTTGTAACTTTTCACGCACGATTTTCACCTACTTTGAAAACCCATCAAGTTGAAGGGTGTTGCAACTTTCTGGTCATTAGCATTCATTAATTAGCAACAAGAATGATCTTTAATCTATTCTTGAATAATGATTCTGGTAACCCATCATATTATCACAATGAGCAAATACGTTTCTTCTTTTGATTTTTTTGCTCAAGGATTTTTATTGCTTCGTATATGCTTGTGCAAATTACATTATTTTTATTATTTATTATAACTATTGCATTATAATAACTTAATAAAAATTATATTACAATCGTTATAATAGTTATAATAGAACGTTACAATAGAAGCATTATCAAATCTTATTTCGCGTTACGTTTGAAAGATACATTCGAAATGATATTGGTACACACAAATTTACACAACAATACTTCTCAAAGCGCACAATATACAAAGTGTCTGAAAATGTCATGTAAATGAAAATACCATGAAGAAAATACTCATGTACGTATAGATCAAAGCAAACAAAAAAAGTTACCTTGCGAAAAAGAAAAAAAATATGTAAAACTCCGAGTTATTAATTAAAGAAGATTGGTACATAATTATACGCAATCATTCATAAATATTCTTTAATTAGTAATTCAAAATTTCACGTGGTTGTTTGCAAAATGATAGAATAAATTTTTATTCAGTTTGCTCCAATTTACACATACACGAGAGCTTTGTGTGCGATCGTCAGACACCCTGTACACTCGACGAGCATGCGTCACGGAGGATCGCATGCGCTTCGAGAATTGGATTCTGCCAGTTACTTGAACGTTGCTGTCGTGACAACTTTCATGGATATCAATCGAGGTCGGTTGTTCTCTCAGCATAGATACATCGTTTTTGTCTATGGATTACCTAACGTTCAGATATACCGGTGCAGCGCTAGGACATCGCGAGAGCTAACATTTGGCATTTGTTCAAAAAAAGATAGACTTGGACTACTCGTACGGCTGGAATCGCCATACCATGACGTTCATGGGACTCTGGCCGGAGGAAAGGAACTTCAGCCAAGCTTCGAGTTACAGAGTGTTAGCTCCTGTTATATCGATGCTCTGCTTCATATGTGTGCCTCAGTCGATCAATTTGTTTTTCATCTGGGGCGATTTCGACCTGATGCTAGAAAACCTGTCCATGGCGAACATAACGATCACAATCTCGCTACTGAAGACCGTTGCGTTCTGGTCTAAGGGTAGACGTAAATATCCTAGTTGTTACGACGATAAAATTTCAATTCTCGCTTCAAACTTCAAGCCTCGCTTTTTTTTCTTCATGTAAAATTCTGTCCCATCTCAGCCGTAAATATGGAGTACCGTCTATCGAAAACGTATTCCATACTTTCGGCCACAGCGAAGCGACTTGATCTCTCGAGTAGCGATTACCAGAGTAAAGAAATCGCGAGTCGAGGAAATCGGCTATATAAACGTGTAAAATTGCCGCTTCAATCTTCCTCAACATTCCATGACAGCCCTGAAGTCACTCGTGACGAGCATGTCGAGGGATTGGAACACGATCGTGAGTAAGCAAGACCGCAGTACGATGTTAGATATCGCGTGCACCAGCAGAAGTCTGTCCAGAAACAGCGTGCTGTTGGTTCAGTTTGTGGTGGTGATGTACATCACGTTGCGATTCTTCATGATCCGGCATAACGGCCGCCAATTGTTCTTCCCCGCGTACTTCCCTTACAATTGGACCAACAGCCCTTCCTACGAGCTGACCTTTCTGGCACAGTTCGTGGCCACTATGTACGCGGCGAACACATACACGGCGGTGGATACCTTCATCGCCATGCTGGTGCTCCACACGTGCGGCCAGCTGTCGAATCTGCGCCGGGAACTGACGGGCCTACAGGCCGTCAGGAGGGCGGAATTTCGAGGGAAATTAGGGAATATCGTGAGGAAGCACGAATATCTAAACAGGTGAGGAAGAATGCGATCGGGGATCGGGACAAGTATTGGGTTGATTCATAATTTCGTGTGGATTTTTGTCCAGTTGGTATCCGCATGTTGTTATCGGCAGAATAGTTCCACACAGTCGGTTATGCTTTGGTGATTTTTGCCAGTTTTTTATTTCGAGTGATAGTGTTTAAAAGACGGTAACAACTGCAGTTAAAAGTATAGTTGTTTCCGTTGCGGCTTGAAAATGTAGGAAGGCAGTAATGAGTTTTCCCGATGCTTTGTGCTTTTTACTGCGAAGTCGTAAAGGGGAGAAGAGCCAGAAGTGGTTTCCGAAATTTCAAAGCGGGTGTCCGAGATGCTTCTTGCTCTGGTAGGTGGTCGATAACCATGGATCTCCAGCAAATAATCACTTGAATCGATTCTGATCGACACGTCACAACTGGGAACGTTGCGGTGAAGTTGAACATTGATCAATCAATAGTTTCGAGATACTTAAATTAAATCGGAATGGTGAAAAAGTTGTTGTTGTTGCATGCTGCACCATTTGACGGAACGACATTTAATGGATCATATTCGTCTGCAATTCACTTTGCAGGTGCAAGGAAACCGAACCGGTTTTTAAACTAATGGTGACGACGGGAGGCGAGAAGTTAATTTTTTACGTTAATGAAAACGGTCATAGAATAAGCGAAGTAAACTTTTATCATCTGTTTCTAAGCCAAGTTTGTATCCAAAAATATCATGTTTTCCATTTGGTGGCACCAAAAAGGAATTTATATATTATGAATTGCTACCCAACAACCAAACTTGGATAAATACTGCACCTAATTGGATACGTTGAAGACGAAAATTGCCAGAAAACAAATTAACCAATCAGAAAGGTATCGTCTTCCAGCACGCAAGACAATGCAAGACCTCAAATGTCGTTGTAGGTCCGACAAAAACTGACAGAATTTGGCTAGGACGTTTTACGTCATCTGTTTCGCACATTACGAAATTCTCTGACGGTATAAATTTCACTTCTTTAGATGTGAATAATCACTTGGGACGTTTCTTCATTGGACAAGCAGAAGAATTTTACGAGAAGGAAATTATGAAACTGCGTGAAAGGTAGTAAAAGATTGTCCAACAGAATTGTACATGTACACTGAGAAAAAATTGTATTAAAATTAAACAAATATTTGTTCGAATACGACTGTGAATACATTTACTTAAATTAAGCAATTATTTTCTAAAATTCAAGGAAAAAGTTTACATTCAGAACCTCTTTCATTTCATTTTAGAAATTAGTCGCTTAATTTGAATAAATCCACTCACAGTTGTATTCGAACAAATATTTGTTTAATTTTAATGCAATTTTTTCTCAGTGTATTGTCGATTAAAATTGTCTTGTTTTTAACAAAAATAAAATTCATTCCAATTTCGTCTAAAAATCCGCATAAACTTATGGATCAACCTGCAATAGCGGAAAAGTTAAGTGGGGAAGCTTTTGACCTTTTCGTTGCGGCAGATACTTTTGTTGCAAAACATTATTTTAGACGCAATGAAATTGTCTGCTTTGAACGTTCAGCTAACATCTTCAAAATTAAAATGTGAGTCGGATGACTCGAGATTGTGCGATGCTTTTCTTCGATGAGTTTTACGATTCTATATCCAATAAGGAAATGTATCGCTAAAAACTCGAAGTTTCTTATTGGATATGGGATGCTTTACGAAGCTTAAGTAAAGTGAAAGGCTCGAGAAGTGGCGTTTCATGTCTGTCGACTGTAATCGACGCTCGTACCGGAAAGGTTAACAATACGCTAATAATTAGCGGTATATCTTATGTTCCTCGCGAACAAGTACAAGACTTAAAGCTAAGGTATTTTTTATTGTCTCCGCCATAGTATCTTCCATAAGGTTTGCAGGAACGATTGAAGACTCCTTCAACAAGATGTTGCTCATGCAAATGTTGGGATGCTCATTGCAAGTTTGCGTCCAGTGTCTTCAGGCGCTGACGGTGAGTTACGAAGAAAGAACAATTAAGTTGTGACCGAAATGGAAGAGACGGGTGAAGGGAGAAAAGAGACGAATCGACATGCTCACACGACTCTTCGCTGTTTCACAGTCGGTAATCGATGAAGCGAATGAACTCGTCATCTTTCAATTCATCTTCCTGGTGTTTTACGTGATCTACATATTGCTGCAGTTATACTTATATTGTTACATCGGCGAGAGGCTACTTATTGAGGTAATGGAACGAGAATATCGATATCTCACGATTATCGATTCGGATCACTATCGATCAGCATGTTCTTAAAAACTAATAACGTCAATAAAATTCCCCGTATACTGCCGGGTTATCTTGCGACTTATCCGAGTACTTGAAGTACCACGATCTTGTTTCGGATAATATTCGAATATTCGAGTAGTATCCGCACGAATTCGAATCGGATACTCGGTACTCGCATGTAAAAACAGTCCGATTTATATGGACTACACTAGGCGAAACCGTCTTGTCTCAAACGACAAATCATATAGGTCTGAAAATGCTGAACGCTTTTCTAGAAAGTGAAATCGGTTTGTCACGACGCGACGGCTGGCCGTGGTATGAAATAATGCAGTCATTAAACACGCTTTCCTATTAAGGCGATACACGTAACGCTTTGCATGCTAACAAACGAGACTGAGATACGTCGTTACACGATTTCTCTCTCCTGATATATGATATTTTGTATGTTGTCTCTGTGGTATCAAGCAGTCGAACTAGTTCTAAACATATATAATCCAAATTGAAAATCGACTGGGGTTTATCATCGCGCAAATATTGTTATGCTTCATGTTTAAATCAGCTGAACAAATAAATGCTCAAACGTTTTGGTTCAATATGGCGCGTGATAATAATAGCGTACGGATTTCTATCGATTTCCACTTCAATTGTAGATCCTGAGAGATCCTTTTTTCCTTTCATATATAAATCGTTAAAGAATGCCGACTTTTACAGTTTTAAGTTTTTTTCCTTGATAACTTTTTCAATAAACCTTGACTCAATGACCTTACAAATTTACAACATACTTTATTCATACTTTAATTCATTGAAATCGATGAATTGATGAAATCTTACAACGAATAATTAGAAATATTAGAAAAGAAATAAATGGTGATGAATAGCTTGCTAAGTGAGAAATCACGTACACATTTGAATGAAGTTCAAAATTTGTCTCAATGAAATGTCAAAAAAATGGGAATGTTATGTAATTCTTTCAGAGCACGAAAATTGGGTATGCTGCGTATGATTGCAATTGGTACAATCTGTCGCCGCACGAAGCGAGATCGTTGATGATCATCATGTGTCGAACTCGGTCGCCATTGCACATCAGCGCCGGCGGGTTCTGTTCTTTCAATCGAGAGCTTTACAGCGAGGTAATTATGACATATTGCGATCTAGATGAAATCTCACCATTTCCCTTTCTGTGTTATCTTAAATCTGTTCGTATGTTTCTTTTTTACCTATAAACACGCATTCTTAACACTTTTTATTTATTTATTCGTTATGGTAATATTGATTGAAGAGATCGGGTATGAGAAAATATACGCCCAAAATTTCTATAAAATATAATCAAGTAAAAAATCATATTCTTAAATGACACGCGACCAATCGAGCAGATTTGTAAAATACTCCGAAAATTTTCCTTTTACTTCGATTACTGATCGATAAATAATTGTAAAACTAATGTTACAAAATTGTGTAGTTAGAAGGTAGATTATATATCATATTAATTTTCTAGTTATAAATTGATTATCAGAACAAAGGACAGAAATAAATTTGTTCGATCGATCGCAAATATCATTTCATAAATATATCTTTTCATTTTAATTTACTTTTCTCCCTTACAAAAATTTGGCATATTTTTTGCTTTTGACGTCATGAATTATTAAAACAGTCGCGGCGAGAGAGCAAGGAAGGAGGGAGGAATTATCAATTGTCTGATAGAAAATCGATTCCTTTTGATATCTCATTAATATCTCGACTAATATGGGAAATCTCATCGTGTCAATCAGAAACAATGTGTTCTTGCACGTGTAATTTTCAAGAATCTAGTTCGAAAGGTGAAAACGAATTGGCGTATCGATTTTAGATCCTGAAGAGGTCCGTGGCTTATATGTCGTGCATCTACGCGGTGAAATAAATTGTTCTCGACCGAAGGCTAAAACCTCGATCGAAATAAGTTCGACATCTGCATCGATTATCCGACAGGAGGATCGATTTCATCGATTGTTATAAAGGCAAAATATATTTTCGAGACATATGAAATGAAGAGTATCATCGCATCTTTTATCATCGCATTTGTGTTTCGCAATCTAAAATTCCCAGTTACCGTCGTTAAGCATCGGCGTACAATCGATCCAAATACAATTATCTCATAACGACTCCTAGTATCGTAAAAAAAAAAAAAGAGAAAAAAAAGTTTTTTTTCGCGGTAAGACGTTTAATTTCCGCGGCTGCTCGGAAGATCGCGCCGAATAAATAATGTAGGAGATGCGCGTTACGCGGAAGGTGGAGACGGGGGCATGACGAAGACAAGGCGAAACGAAAATAGAGCGACGGGGCGCAGCAACTATTTAATGAGGTCTCAGTAGTCGGCTCCCACATTAGGTATGCAGCGGAAACTCGGCGAGCACGTTTTTCCCTCGCTTCCCTTTTTTCCTTTTCGTCGGCTTGTTTTTCCGCCCGGTCGAGCCGGCGCGTGCATATTCGAGCAGCTTCATCCACGCGAACAAATTGCTCGCGCAAGTGCACCCCCGCGATCCATATTTGATGAGGTAGTCTATAGACCTGCGATTAGGACGACTCTCGGTTACGGGCTGATCAAGTATTCCGCCTACTACGACTGTGGAAGACAGCGTTCCGGACGGGGGCTTCGCGCTCGCGTTTCGCGAATATATTAAAATAAAATTTCGATGATGGGAGGAAGAGAGAGAGGGAAGCACGGGCGAGTCTACTAGCGCCGCGATCGATAATCCGCAGTTTCGCGAGATCACTCGTGCGATCGTTTACTTCGCTGTTTAGCCACATTGGCCAGAATTTCGCTCGAGGAAACTCGCCCTCGACGTTCCGGACGCTCGACGCTCAGCGAGGATGAAGTGGAAAGTGTCGTCGCGGAGCGGTGTGTCGTGCGAACTTCTCTTTTCTGCGATGGAACCACGCTTCGCGGAACGGAAGTGGCGCCGATAATGAGGGTCCTCGTAAACGAAGGAGCTCTCGAACGAGTTCGCGTGAGCGCGTCGTTCGATTCCGCCGACGCGTCGGCAATTTTCATTCGCGAATCGGGTAAAAGTTCGCAAGCGGCGCGCTTTCACCGCTTATTTCCGTCAACCCGCGAAGAAAGTCCGGCGGAGGGCACCGCGACGGGGAGCCGGACTAATGAGTGTCATTAATGGTTGCGTGGTCTATCGTCACAATGGTGAAAAGCAAAGGATGACAACTGCCGACCGCCGACTCAGATGGACATAGATAAAACGAACGGCTTCACGCTTTGTCGCGGGAGAGAGAGAGACAGAGAGAGAGAGAGAGACAGAGAGAGAGAGAGAGAGAGAGAGAGAGAGAGAGAGAGAGACGCGCTTTCGTATAAAAGCATGTTGTGACATTGGAACATTACTTCGACTTGGAACATTCCGGCAACGTGCAGCGATTGTTCGAGCTTCGCTGAGTGTTACTTCGCGAAAGACATTACCCTTTTACCAGGCTTTTACCAGGTTTGCAAGAGATTCGATATCTCGTGAGAGAAGCAGAGAGAGAAAGAGAGAGAGAGATTAATTTGCCTACGATTCATTCACGCGACAAATCGCAGAAAATGATCTGAACTATATTATTGAGATTCATTGAGATCTCTTTGCTTCGCTGATTACGCACGTTTGCGTAATAATAAAAAAGAATGTTAATTAACGCGAGAGTGTTTGTGGTCGTCGCATTGGCAATATGCGTCGTGCGCGCCCGCAATACCGAGAGTCGAGATGCTTTTAAGGAGACCAGTGATAAGAAGTACGGTGGCTCCATGTTGGCTGAGATAGCAAAGGAGTTCGTGCAAAGATCGACGTCCAGCAGCCAGGTGATCAGAATTATATATTATATATCCTAATTATATTATATATAATTATATATTATTTATAAGTACATATATCGTTTTTGCTTACTTTTTCTCTCTGAATTTTAATATATTGTCGTCGATTAGTTCCTCGTTGCATTAAAAATATTAATAAATTATTTCAATTTTTCTTGTAAAAATGTTAATAAGATCTTTAGAAGTGTAAATTTTTTCTACAGCAATTTTAATGAAAGTTTTTGATTGTCTTACTGCAAAGATAAGTGAAATTAACCCTTAAAGAATAATAATGACTTTACAGGTGCTCAATTTAAATCTATCGAATCTACTGCTACTTCTGGTACTTAAAGCGGTCGTATTCGGCGCCAGCTATCTAGGAAATCACGGTTACAAGGGTCGTGAGCTACAGGATGGTAATTTCAACAACTGTAAAACACGTTTTTTGTTAACACATCGACACATCATCAGAATCAATTGCACTGCATTTCAGTTTTTGAGTTTTTGCTTTGAACAATCCTAATTATTTAAAAACGTTGATATTTTATAACTCTTTTATACTTTAATACGGTCTCCTAAAGAAAAAAGGAAAAAAATTCATCTTTTTTTATCTCTATTAAATAAAATCTATTTTTCAAATTAATCTTTGTTAATGTCATTCAATGCCAATAAAGTTAAAAAAATGTCTTCACGAAAGAACACAGAAATAAAATAAACAGTATAGTTAATAGTTCCAATTCAAAATCCAATTGAGAATTTCACAATCAATAGCAATGCGTCCAGTCGACCCACCGTGTATAATCAGATGATTAAACGTTGCACTTCTTTCTTTGATGAGCTTTGCGACGTATGTTCGATACGAGAAGCGGTTTTTCAGCAGTTCTCAGGAGGTTCATTTTTCCATTGAATACAAAATTTCTTGAGATGAAAATGTCGTAACCGCTAATCATCTGACTTTTTGAGGGTCGATATTTCTTGTTGTCTTTCATTTCTTCTCAGTTCGACGCAATCGCGACGATATAACGGAACAAAGAACGTTAATAATAATCGTCTCATTGCCATTGCATTACGTCCGATCGTCCAATGTCTCGGTTGCGCCGTAAAGTAGGAGCCTGACGAATATGAGTGCGGCTGTGGTTAAGTTACGAGGGTCGCAGTTATAAAAGTTTCTTCGTCAATTCCAGAGAACATCGTGTCGGAGGGTGAGATTGCGCTGGCTCTTGGATATCTAATCGGAGATACCTGCTTATACAGAGCAGCTTGCGAAGAGCCGTACGTCGCGACGGAATATCTCGGAGCGGCGGAGATGCTATTGCAAACTATGAAATTGATGCCACAGTACGTATGGAAAAAAGTATTCGTGCAAGATCATATTGGAAAAGTAATGCGGTGAAAAACAGAAACAGCCAGTTTTGCGTGTAAATAAGTTACGCGTTAAAGCTTTGGCATACTGCTGTCAAAACGGCGAAGCTTGATATGCAAATCTTGTATTTCCACAGAAGCTTGCCCGTGGAACACGATTATGATAAGACGATCACCGAGTTGCGGAAAGCAATCGAGTATGGAAGTGCTGAGCAATGCCCGTCGGAATATAGTTGCAAGAAGGAAAATATAAATAATTTCTTCCAGAACGAAAAGAGATAATGTGAACATTTGCACTGCGTTTGCAAAATACCACAATCTCGTGTATTTCTTCATTTTTCTATTGAGCCGTAAAAATAGCTGTTAGAATAAATTGTAAATCTTTTTCCAAAATTATTAGTATTGATTTATTTTCGGACGAATTGGTAATCACATTATAAAAGAACAGCTGAATGTAAAATATGTCTCATGATCTTAAAATAAAACAGATATTATGTGATAAATGAGGAAATATAAAAATTTTTTTAATTCAACACCGTATGTTCGATAATCTCATTTTTATGGAAAACTGTATATGAAAGATACGATATACTATTATATGAAAGATATGTAGGTGATCTTTCACCCCGATAAGTATGTAATAAATTAATAATAAAATTTATTAGAACAATTCGTGACAAGGGATATTGACATTTTTTTAATTTGCCTATGACTTTGAAGTGAATAAAACAAAGGAAAAAAACCAGTGTGTCAACGAACGAAGAGGAAAATAAAAATTTTATTAAGGAAAATTAAGTCGTGAGATTTCGTAATAAGATAGTTCGCATCGATTTAACGCTGGATTTACAAATTATTTTAACATTATAAGTTACAAAAATAAACCTTTAATTGCATGCTGCTCATTGCCACGAGAACGAGTATCCATTATAACAGATGCTGAAATAACAATATATGAGATATCCGATACTATGATTGTAACGGAGGATTCAGCAAAAACGTAAGTATTGTATAATTAAGAGTGGAGCCTAAGAACGAATACTTACTTATACGATTATATTACGAATACTTATATATTTCATGGTATATAAGTATTTATTTACTTTTTTTAAACCGTATTCCTCTATTTTATGATATTCCACTTTCTAAAAGTTAATTAAAAGTAGAAAAGCAGAATTCATATTGGTTTACGTCTCTTACATATATTGCAAAAAAAATAAATCGTATTATCGAAAGGTTTCTTAGGAAATTCTATGAGTGTTAATTTCTCTCAATATGAGCTATAGATGCGATTGTCGGTGGTGAGCAATTGGTGGTCAGCAATTTATGTTCAGCATCTATAGACCAGCAATGTCTATGCAACAGGTTGTGCTTTAAGATTCACCTAATGATCATCACAATAGTTGTTGCAGAGTTGCGGATTAATCTGTCGGCGACAAATAAAACGCGATTTTGCGTGCACAAACAACTATAATTCGCAACTTTAAATTACGTGCTATACCTATTTGGATTAGCTATATAAATATTTTCTACGATACTTCCTACTTTTCTCAGTTAACAAGACGGCTGGAGTTCCACTTTGATTTTTCTATAATTTTTTTTGTAAATATGCAGGCGCTCTTCTTGATGTGTCGCTTTATGCTGATCTGTAATAATAAAAAATCATGCAGCATCGATAACGTGGTATTAGTTTGTCTTCATTTCGCTGTTTGCAAATGTAACGAATATTCGAATTGAAAAACTGATCGTAACAAATTTTTCATATCGAATTCGGTAAATTTGAGCAGTTTACTACTCAACGATACATCGCAACGATACATTTATTGTTATAATTGTGACGTATAAGTGCCTGATTTGTAATATAAGTACACAAATAATATTGGAAGTTCGGTACCTCAGCAGAGATAACAAAATTCTGCATACGATTTTAAGAGGCATGTTAAGTCGGTGATAGCTTTAAAAATAACGTTTATTAATTACATAAAAAAATAACAATGTTTTATATAAATATATTGTTTTATATAAATATATTGTTAAATATATTGTTATGATTTTCCTTTAAATACATATGTATGCTCACAAATATTGAGCACGCAACATACATATGCAATGAAATAAATAATTGTGAAATAATTAATTCGGACAGACAAACAGTTAGACTCTAAAAGCATTATAATAATAGATACAATTTCTTCTTCTTTTGTAAAGAATAAAACAATATAAAAAATAGATAAACCTGTCTGCGCTGTGCGATCGTATTTAACGATCGCTAGTAAAATTCTAACATCAAATGCGCAATAAACATTAAACTATCGCACGTATTATATATTTATTGAAGAATATTGCATATTTTTGGAGAAAAAAGGAAGAAAACATTTATTTGCCGTTTAATACGAGGTTTTCTTTAGAAATTCTTGATTAACCTTACAAGTATCTATGTGTAATTTATAATAAAGTTATCAAACTGTACCGCAATCATATATTGCATCAGTTTTAATCTTTCATTGAGTTGCTTATGTAATTCATAATTATATAATCGTGATATGAAGCAGGTTCGTTTTGAACATAAAACTTCTGACAATGTATGGAGCATTTGTTACAGAGGTTGTCGTATTCACTTGACTCGAAGATTATTTCTGGCTTGATCATTACAACATACAGTTTCTTTATATTATGAAAGAGATGTAGGAGAAGTTCTCAAGCTTTTAAGCTTTTTACATCTACGATACTTGCGTCTATAATATGGACGGTAAATTCTTCAACATTCTTTAGTAAATGTAATAAATTGAATTTCTTCCATGCATAGTATAGTGTTAACGGATCTGATATAATCCGTATATACGTAATTTTCCATGTTCCAAGAGAAGGCATCATTTACACAATAATCTTTATTTTTTATAGCTATTGTGGTCGTGTATTTATCGACAAATGCAACCATGTCATTAAAAGGATGCCCATATCAACAAAATAGGGGAGCTTCAAATTGTCTAGAAATGAATCACAAATTCTATTATATACCCTCGCGATATTTATATTCAGAAATATCAACAACTTCTTGCAGCAAAACATGTGTTGCTTTTGAAAGCTTCGTTTATGATCATTACAATAGTTGGCGGAATAGCAGGTGTTGCAAGTTTGCAGATTGACTTGTTGGTGACAAATGATACATGATTTTGCGTACAAGCACATCTCTACTTCGTATGGTTCTAAATAACGTGATATCTCCAGTTGAATCAGTTGCGTAAGTTCCTTCTGCGATGCTATCCATTCTTCGAAATGTAACACTTAGTTGCTGTAACACTTAGTGTCCCAGTCCAGATCCTTTATTATTACCTTTAACTGTGCATACCGGCAGGTGTGTTTTTTCATGTATCTTCATGTGCTCGTCGTTATAGTAAAAGATCATGAAGCACCGATAACATGGTATTAATTTGCCTCCGTTTAGCGATTTGCAGACATGACAAATGTTCGGATTGAAAAACTGATCGTAACTATTCTCTGCTACCGATCTAGTTAACTTATAAGTATACAATTTTTTACTTGCACTCATTATAATATGCCTGTATAATTGTTGACACATTTACAAATATATTATATTTATAATATTAACTTAGAAGTATAGCACAAAAATTGGCATCTTTACCTGACGTAAAGATAATTAAATACAAATTTAACATTCACCGGGTGGTAGTTCGAATGAGACTGATAACGGATATAAATTTATTTACATATGAGTGTCGAAGTAATTGTTGACACTTTAAACTGTAACGGGATGATATTATAAACTGTAAATATTTGCTACTATGATGTAAGTATTATACACATAGGGTGAGGCATCTAAAACAGGCCACTTGAATAACTTTGAAAATATGCAAGATAGAAAAAAGTTGTGGAAATTTGTTGGTAAAAAGGATTGGTAAAAAAAGATAATATAATGAAAAATAGGGGTTTCCATTTAAAAAAAGTGATCTTCTCGATCTCAAAAATGGTGCTTATAAACAAAATGATATATCACTGTCTTATGTCCCCCTTCAAACTAAACAACTATTGTCTAAAACATTTTTTCATCCGACCACTTTCTGCGATGTTAATCGGGATGCATAATTAAAATGGGACATTCTTTATATAAAATGTGTTGTACAAGTATTTTAAATTGCTATGTAATTTGGACAATTTGCTAAAAAAAGTAATATAACTGCGCTTAGGAATGCATATACTAGCCATAAAAAATGTATGTTTTATTCATATATAATAATAATCCATGATCATCTCTCGTCAATGTTCTATCACTTATTTTTTTTCTTTTAAATTAAATGTGACGTTTTTAACTGTAATATTTTTTGACATTACTTTATAATTATTTAAATATTAAAAATATTTGAATGCAATTTTATGCATGTGAAAAAATGTATTTAAAAAAAAAATTATTACAATATAAACAAGTAAATAGGTAGAGATTACTGGATAATTGTAATTAGAGAATTGTTTCAAAACTTACATAAAAAATAATGGATATAACGGATTATAAAATTATCACAGATTAATTGCTAAAATATCATGATTTATAGCATAATAGTTATAATATGAAAAAAAAAATATAAATAACACTTTAACTTTAAATACTTAATAATACATACCTTTTTCTAGTAATAAGAAATCTAGACATTTTATTTTAGATTATTTAGACTATTTTATATAAATACTATTAGAATACATGTATATAATTTATTCTTTATATAATCTATTTCAATTCTATTACACAATTTGGTAAGGCTTCTTCAAGTTCTTTCCTGAGCAAGGTTTTATCATCCAAATATGGCATACCAGCTAGCTTCAACATCTTCAGATTTCTAGAAAACAAATACAAAATTTAATATCCAACTATAGTATATTTTTATATGAGAAAATGTAGAAAATAACCTATAAGTATATCGTAAAATTGATATAAAATATATACTTCAAATTCTTTAAGCTGCGCACTCCATCATCGGTTACACTCTTGCAATCTCTGATCTCAAGAGTAGTTAAAGTATTCTTTACTATTGACAATAATGGTAAAGCAGTGTTATTTATATAAACACAACGTATAAGTTTTATCTCATCGATATATTTGCAACCCTCTGCAAAGTTTTACAAATATATATATTGCAAGATCTTTTTATAATATACCTATATTATAATCTACAGAAAATTAAACATTATATATAAGTAAATTTTAAGTAAGCAGTGGGAAAACAGAATAATTTCTGATAATCTTAGTTATATAGTATAAAATATAATTTATACTTTTAGTTAATGCCAAATATTTGAATAAACTTTTAACTAATAAAGATTTTCATTAACATATTATCTCAAATTGAATCATCATACATATAACTTTATAATTGTATGCTTCTTTGCAATATATTATTAAAAAATAAAGTATAATTTTTTGTTAAGATACTAACCAAAATGTGGAAATCCTACATCAGTAATTCCAGAATCTGTAGCATCTACACCTTGTATATAGCATCGAGTATCTTCTGTAGGCAAATTATTATAATCACTTAGATATTCTGTGAAACCTTTCCATCGGACACTGGCACCATTCCTTAAAAGCCATTCAGCACAGGCACGGTCTGGACCAACTAACTTAACTCTTTTTCTGTCAACACTGAAAATAATAATTACCTTGCACATTATGTATAGCAAACTAGTAACATTACAATCAACATGTCTATAACAAGGTATAAAAATATCACTCAATACTTATTGAATATTATTGTTAGCCAATAGAAAAGTCCTCTACCGGGAGGTTTCCTATAGTGATTAGTAGTGGCCAACAGCCTATTTAATATCTGTAACAATATATTTATATAACCTAATGTAAAAATAAAAAACGCAATTTAGATCAAACTTTTGCAAATGATATACTAAAAGGTAACATAACACATGACATATAATGAGAAATAACAAGTCCCACAATAATAACATACGTGTAACGTCATCGTGTATTTGTTTTGAAACGTAATTTCCCAATTAGAAGTGATATTTTATATGTACACTGCACGTTTTATATATACACGCATAGCCATAAAGGTGGATATTTTCAATGGATGGGTCTGTTCTTTTTAACTGAACTAAGTTGTACTTTTGTCTTCAGAGTGCACGAATTCTTTTTCTTTTTCAATAGATGACTCGGTGCATACAATAGATGCTTCGATGCCATTCACACAATCGAATGCACGCATACAGAAACCTGAGAGCAGTCATTGGACTGTCGCTGGATTCCGACAAGCGACGTATTTCTCGACGTCCCCTCTGAGAAAGTGCATACAAACTAGGGATGGACGATACAGTATCGATATTTTAAAATATCGATACTTTTGGATCTAAATATCGATATTTTTCTTTTCAATATTACTGTGTATCGATATTTCAAGAGCAATATCGGACTTCCGATACAGCTGGAAAATGGCGTGTGGACGTACCTCAATTTGTCCGAAGCCATATATTGAACTGAACTGAACTGAACTTCCGATACAGTTCAATACGAATCATTAGTATTCTATTAGGCAAAAATTTTAGCGTACCGAAACTTTCGGAACTAGCGTTACCAACTACAGCTATTCTCAGTTCCGTTTGCGTTTGAATTGTCGCAAACCGTTGCAAATTAATGGCGAATTTGATTGACATGTATTTGCTCCGTCCCAGTGCTTAGTAACTTTTTGTTATTAGGCGCACTTGTTCGGAGTGTGTACTTTTATGCTAACTTGAATACGGGTAATTTAAGGAGCTTTCTGAATTTGCGTACGGTCGCGGACATAACCTAGACAGCACATAATCTCCTGGGGACGTCCTATGGACGTCCTGAGGATGAAGAAACGTCCCCAGGACGTCCTTAAAACGTACTCTGGACGTCCTCTGAACATCTGTGCTGTTAGGGGAAGGTTGTCACTTTTTTTTTAATGACTTTCGGGACGCATCCCGACTCGAGAAAGATGAGAGCTGCTGCTCCGCCTGCGTAGCACGCCTGTGCTGCGATTCTGTAACTCGTTATTGGAGTTAACGACAGTTTCGTTATTGTTGCGCAGCTTTTCTACGGTATACAAAAACTGCGCAACGATAACGAAAGTGTCGTTAACTCCAATAACGAGTTACAGAATCGCGGTACTGCGCAGTAACTCACAACGAAAGGCGAGAAATGAAATATACGTGGTATGACATAAGTATGTCAATCCAATAAGTATGACAATCATTGCGTTTAGTGGAGAAAACCGCTCAATGAGCGATTAGTGACTATTGGTCCTTACTGTTAGATCCTTACATTCAGACCAATAACGTTGACAAATTATTCAACAGTTGCTCAACCGTTGAGTGTCGTGAAAGCGCCCAATTCTTACATTTTGAAAAATCAGCAGCGGAGGGATAGATACATAGTGCAAATCACTCAAGTGGGAATGCGTCTTTTGCAAGGTCTTAAACAGGTATGTATATTAAATTTTAAGTGAAATCGTATCTTTTTAGTCACTAATCGCTCACTGAGCGGTTTTCTCCGCTGAACGCAATGATTGTTGACATACTTATGTCATACCACATATATTTCTCGCATTTCGTTGTGAGTTACTGCGCAGGCGTGCTGAGCAGCTCTCATCTTTCTCGAGTCGGGATGCGTCCCGAAAGTCATTAAGAAAAAAGTGACAACCTTTATGTCCGCGACCATACACTCGCGGACATAATAGTAAGTACCCGTTTTTTGCAACTTTCGGAACGCATCCCGACTCGAGAAGTATGAAAGTCACTGCTCCGTCTGCGGAGCACGCCTGCGCATCAGGGTTGGGTAATATGCGCGGCAGGGAGGTATTATGCACAATTCTGCGCATAATACGCATAAAATGCAGAAAACGCGCAGAATACGCAGAAAACATGCAGAAAACGCAGAAAACGCAGAAAACCCATGTGATGCCCATTCTAAGGGCGAATTCATACCTTGGAAGAAAAGCGGAAAGCAGAAAGGCAGCAGTCAATGGGTGCGTTCAACGAACTCAATAATTGCACAACAGTTGAGGAATTCGTCGACGTAATTAGTCTAGATTTCGAGATCTAAAAGTAAGGACCAATAATCGCTAATTGTTCACTGAGCGCTTTTTTCGCTGAACGCGCCCAATCAGAACTCGCGCTGGTTTCTGCTTTCTTTTACTATATTACCAGCGCGAGTTCTGATTGGCTGCTGCCTTTCTGCTTTCCGCTTTTCTGCCAAAATGTGAATCCGCCCTAACTCTACAATCCTATTTACCGCGAATTAGATTCATTACCATATCCAGATATCATCTGGATATAGAAAGAAATTAAAAAATGGGAGACAGCGAAGAACTATATTCCCAATTTCATGTTTTTCATGATCATGGGCAAATGTTTGTGCTTTGTCTCATATGCCAAACGGTTATAAAAAGTGATGGTGAGAGATTACAGAAGCATAGGTTTGTATATATCCTGTATATAATTATATTATATTTAAAATTGTATTATATTTTTATTGTAGAGGAGACCGGGGCTGGTTGATACAATTTTTTTCTGTGATTGTTTTACACGAAACTAACAAATGGAATACAAAAATATGTAGCCTGAAATAACTTGCAACATCACCGCAATGTTTTTGCGAAAATACTATATTTTTATGCACTATTATCTTTTGTCGTTTTGCAATAATGTTAAATATAACAACGTGTCCCGTGTATCATTTAATCCCGGTCTCCCCTATTTTTACATTTCAAAACTATTTGAATCATCTCTTATGTTTAGTTATACTTAAACCAAAAAATATATGAAATATTTTAACTTTCAGGATGGTTTGTAATGATAATAAACAAGCAAGTAATAATAAGGCTAAAAAACGGAAAGTCACCAAGAGCAATACAACTAATGTAAGTCAACTCATATATTTCAAATTAGGCTTTAACTACAATCTAAATATTAAATTTCAAATGAAATATGTTTATGCCTTTTTGTAAATGCACTCATCACTCAACGATTCAGCTCAGACTGCGTCGGATAATGTGCAAAAATCTTCTAACGACGGCCTCAATACTATTGACGAAGCATTGGCCAAATTTTTTTTCGGTTGTAATATATCGTTTTCTGTCATAGAATCGGTACATTTTAAAAATTTTATATCTATTTTAAATCCGACTTATAAACTGCCGACAAGGAAGACTTTATCTACAAGTATCTTGGATAAATTTCATACAAAGATGATGGCCGCTAGAAAAGAGTCTTTGAAGAATACAGAATCAGTACTTTTAATTGATGGCTGGAAAAATTCCCCTGCCAATACAAAAAATATTGTTTGCGTTTTATACAATGCGAGCAAAAAGCAACAAGTTTTTCTAGAGTCCTACGACTTTTCTGGCCTCCAAGAAACTGCAATAGCTTTAAAAAAGATAGTTAACGAAGTAACTGAACTATGGACTATGGAAGCTATGGACTTGTATGGCACGACTATATACGCTGTTGTTTCTGATAATGTCTCGTCAATGATTGCCATGGGAAAGTCTATTGACTTATGGCATACCACTTGCAATAGTCACAGTGCCAATCTTTTAGCTAAATCTGTAGTACAGAAGAGCTTCGCAATTAAAGTTAATGCTTTATTAAAAGAAATTAAAAATCCGAATTTAGAAGTCGAACTAATAAAGAGGGGTGGATCAAAAATTGTTTTAGCATGTGAAACACGCTGGTGTAGTCATCGTGATTCGTTCAAATGTGCATTGAAAAATTTAGATATTATGCGAACAGTCGTACAAGAGAAGCAAATAAAGTTTAACACGAAACGAGTTTAACACGAACAACGAAAGTGATGCATTGCTTCAGAGTTCAGAATTTGAAACAAATCTACAGGATTATATTTTGATATTCGATCCAGTTTGTGAATTGGTAAACAAATGTCAAAGATCATCATCGAATATTGCTGATGCAGTTGAGCATTGGCTAACGCTAAATCTTTCTACTAATAATGATAATTATAACACACTTCTAGAAGCTCGCATACAAAAAGCGACAAAACCCATTTGTTTTGCAGCTAACTTCTTACATCCAGTGTATCAAGGCCAAAGATTATCATATGATCAACGTGAATGGGCAATTAATTTTATTAAAGTACATTCAAATGAAATAGGTGTAAAAGAATTAGAAACATTCCAGGCTAAAACAGGATTTTTTGAAAAAATATTTACTAAGAATATAAAAGATCCACATATATTTTGGTCCACATCAAAAAACCATGTCCCTCATTTATCTAAACTGGCAATTAAATTATTCGACATACCGGCATCAACCGCAGAATTAGAACGTTTGTTTTCATATTGGGGATACGTACACTCAGAGATAAGAAATCGGTTGACAGCAAAACGTTCCAAAGCTTTAGTTGATATACAGGGTGCACGATTTATCTGAAGACATTGAAATATCTCGAGAACTATGCATTGGATAAAAAAAAGTGGTTAATAAAAGTTGTTAGTCTCGAAGGGGGACATTCAATGATACTAAACTCGACCTCCCACCCCACCCCCTGGAGGTGGGGGTTGGGGGCAACTTTGAAATCTTAAATGGAAACCCCCATTTTTTATTGCAGATGCGGATTCTACGCTACAAAATACGTAAATTTTGTTCGAAACTTTTTTTTTTATTCGTGATAGATGGCGCTGTAATCGCAAAAAAATTATATTTTCCGCAATTCTCCAGAAATGATCATTGGATTGAGAAATAAAAAATACCTGTTCAATATTTTTAAAGAACATAATAAAAGTTATTCCCCCCCCCCATCCTCTCGGGGTAGGGTGGGTGATAACGTTCAAATCTCAAATGGGGACCCACATTTTTCATTGCAGAATTAGATTGTACGTGAAATTTTTATTGAAACAATTTTTTTCATTCGTGATAGATAGCGTTGAATTTTTCCGAGAAACTACTTTTAGCGCTACACAGGAACAACGACGAGGACGTAGTAGTTTTATGTTCCCTTCAGGTGCTTTTTTAATGTGAGTCCCCTTGCCTCTCACTGTTCAATTAATTAGAGTAAGTGTTCGAAATTTTTACCTTCAACTTCAATACACTTATTGTCCTTTTTTCAAATGACTGTACACAGGATAGAAGCATATCTGCGCGAGTTTCAGCGCAAGCGTTTCTTATGCGTTCTACCATGTTTTCACGAGTTGTTGGCACTTGTTGATAAACCTTATCTTTTAGGTAACCCCACAGAAAGAAATCCGGCGATGTCAAATCAGGCGACCTAGCAGGCCAATTAATCGAGCCACCTCTGCCAATCCACCGACCATTGTAATCACGGTCTAATACTTCCCGTGCTGCTATTGAGTTATGCGCTGGGCAACCGCCATGCAGATTTGAACGTTACCACCCACCCTACCCCGAGAGGATGGGGGGGAATAACTTTTATTATGTTCTTTAAAAATATTGAACAGGTATTTTTTATTTCTCAACCCAATGATCATTTCTGGAGAATTGCAGAAAATATAATTTTTTGCGATTATAGCGCCATCTATCACGAATCAAAAAAAAGTTTCGGACAAAATTTACGTATTTTGTGGCGTAGAATCCGTATTTGCAATAAAAAATGAGGGTTTCCATTTAAGATTTCAAAGTTGTCCCCAACCCCCACCCCCAGGGGGTGGGGTAGGAGGTCGAGTTTGGTATCATTGGATGTCCCCCTTCGAGACTAACAACTTTCATTAACCACTTTTTTTTATCCAATGCATAGTTCTCGAGATATTTCAATGTCTTCAGATAAATCGTGCACCCTGTATAACGTTCTTAAAAACATAGCGTCATGACGGAAGTTGAAGAAGTGCATTAGAAAAGTTTAAAGGTGTGATATTCATTTATGAGCTCATTGTCTATTCGATTCTGTGAAAATGTTTAATTAATGAGTCTAACGTACATCACACCTTGATTTATAACGTGACAAACCAGAAAAGTTCTGAATATATTAAAATAACTAATTCTGTTCTATCTACTTTATGCGACTGAATGTACAAATTTCAATTTCCGCGATACTTTTATGCGATGTAGACAGAGACAGTATAGAAGAGAAATAGGTAATTCTTTTATCTGTTACGTCCTGCGGACTCCGCGTACTCTAAATTCTTTTTATAAGTAAAGCGAATTAATTTTATATTACTCATTATACGTTCAAATGTTCTTACTTAACAAACACGTTCCCACGATTCCTCAAGCATGAGGAATGAGTGGGATGAGAGATAACGTTATATACCGATTTCTCTTTTTTTGTCCTTCCTTCTGGAAGCGTAATTGCTGAGTTTCTCTAATTTCCTCCAGAAGTTCTACCGAGTTATTTTAGCCAGGCGTTTCCCTTCCAAAATTTTTAATAACTTCCTTCTTCAGAACAACAATTTTCTTTGAAGATGGACCGACCGGTCAATCTCTCATACTGTTACATGACGTGACTAGCCTTTGATTTTCAAGAATTCATGCCTTTTCCGCGTCCCTTCATAAATTTTATTGCGCACCAACTCTAACTAAACCTAACGAAACTTTGAAATCTTTTTACTGTCACATGTATCCCATCTCTTACAATATTTATTTTTGAGATACTGCAACGCACTATTGAAATCCCACTTCAAAAAATCATTGCAACAAAGTCCTATGACCATATTTGGATATAAACCTTAGATCCCTGATCAACTTCCAAAATCCTATCCTCTCAACTGAGGTGACGATTTGAGTAAAAAAAAGGCTATGTCACTTTCCGTCAGACCAGCAGCCAAGACAGATCAGAAGCTCCTCTTCAGCACTCCTTCAGGGTCTCTCTAACAATTTAGCCTACTAGTGGCTTAGACAGATTAGTGTTTCTCCAGTCATTGATTATTCTGTGTAACGCTCTCGCGTACTATTGGACCATTGTGAGTAATCCAGCTGAAACGAGCCCCTGATTCTCGGCGCAGAACTTGGGTCATCCACCCCCACAGACCCGCAGCAATTACTCTCTTCATCTCCAACAAATACCATAGAAGCAGCAATAAGTTTTATTTTTTACACTCTTATTTATATTTCCGTTTTAATCTTCTTTGGATCCACTTTTCTCCCTTTTTCTTACTTCTTCTTCCTCTCTTCTTTGCCTCCTGAGTATATCCCTCACACACATATACGTATAATGCACACATACAATTTTCCTTATTCGATATGAAATTAAATCGCGTCCTTGTAAATTGTATCTTGTAAATCGCGCCGTTGATAAATCTCTGTAGTTTTATTCCCATTCTGTTTGTTACCGTAATTTTAATAAATTTTGTTAATTGTTCATTTTCCATAATTGATTTAAAAATCAGCTCTCTAGCCCACTTCTCTCAACTGTTGCTCACGATCCTATCCCAGGTAAAGGGATTCGGTCCCCTGACTTAAATAAAGGACCAGCGACGTACGTCCATGCCAGATAAAGGAGTCATTTCGATATTTGATCTGCACCGCAGACTTCCTAGTACATCGGAGCTGGCGAAAGCAAGCATCCAGTTACGTTCCTCCTCCTCCTCAGGACGTATCTATCAAATTACATTTTCCCTTTTCTTTTAGAACGTAGAAACAACAAATTCAGAACTTAAACATCACTTGTTTAACTGTTTGAGCCGAATAATAGTAAATTATAAAATTAACGCTTGTTATAATGTTATAAGCATTTAGATATTTATACATATATTGAACGATCCGTAATGGTTAGTGATTATATCACACTTTAATACAAGTCCTGTGAACAAAGTTAGAGAAACATCGATGGGTGATTCGTTTTCGAAATTCAGACAAGGTTTTGTCGGGACGCTTTTAGTTCGAAAATTCAATACGTATAGTGCATAATAGCAGGATAAAAATATCACATAAATTTGAGAATGCTAGAATAGAGAGAGAGAGAGAGAGAGAGAGAGAGAGAGAGAGAGAGAGAGAGAGAGAGAGAGAGAGAGAGAGAGAGAGAGAGAAAGGGGAGGAGGGAGGGAAGGAAGAGAGAGAGAGGGAGAGAGGGAGAGAGGGAGAGGGAGAAAGAGAGGAGACTGCACCAAGATCTATATCGAGCTTAAACTTATTTAATATTGGATTGGCAAATAAGTTCGTTCGGTTTTTTAGAATAGAATAAAACACAATTTTTTGATACACAAGATAAATTTTAATCAATTGTATATTGGCCAACTTTATCGATGACCTCTAGTCATCTTTCCACCAACTTCATTATGCCGCGTTCATAAAACATTTGAGGCTTATCGGCGAAAAACCAATCCAGGTGGTTTTTAACGGCCTCTTCATCCTTGAAGATTTTCCCGTTCACAAAGTTCTGCAGCGACCGGAATAAATGATAATCGGAAGGGGCAAGATCTGGTGAATACGGAGGATGAGGCAAAACATCCCAGCCAAGCTGAAGCAATTTGTTCCGAGTGGTATAGACGTATGAGGTTTGACATTGTCGTGGTGGAAGACGACACCCTTGCGATTTGCCAATTCTGGACGTTTTGTGCGGATTGCTTGGTTCAATTTCGTCAATTGCGAACAGTATACAGTTGAATCAATTGCTTTGCCTGACGGTAACAGTTCATAATAAATAACAGCCTTGAAATCCCACCATACGAAGAGCATTATTTTCTTCGGATGCAATCCCGTTTTCGAGGTTGCTTGCGGTGGCTCGTTGCTGTGCCCCCATGATCTTTTACGTATTACATTATCGTAGACGACCCATTTTTCGTTACCCATCACTATTCGTTTCAAAAATTGGATCGTTTTCTTGGCATTTCCGTAGAGAATCGCAAATGGATATGCGTGTGATCAAGTTAGTCTCGGTTAATTAATGCGGCACCCAAACATTAAGCCGAGAAATGTATCCCAGCTGGCGCAAATGCTTTTCTACGCTTGTGTGGGATGTATTCAATGTCGTAGCAATCTCTCGTACCGATTGGGATGGATTTAGTTCGATTATAGCCTTAATGTCAGATAGTAATGGCGGATTTCCCCACCGTGATAAAAAAAAGGTATTGCGGAAATTAAACTTTGTACTTTGTTTTAATCGCGCAAAGTAGATAGAGTAGAATTAGTTATTTAAATATATTCAGAACTTTTTTAATTCGTCATGTTATAAATTAAGATGTAGTACAAAGTACGTTAGACTCATTAACTAAACATTTTCGCAGAATCGAATAGACAATGAGTTCATAAAGGAATATCGCACCTTTAACCTTTTCTAATGCACTTCTTCAATTTCTGTCATGACGCTATGTTTTTAAGAACGTATATAAGATGTGCGTGCAATATGAGTTTAAGAACATTCTGTCGCGAGTGTTTCGTGACAATGGTTTTATAATCATATCGGTTGGCTTTTCACGTCTTCTGATATCATCGTTGAAAACAATATTCATCGTAAGTATATACGCTTGATTATATCAAATAAATTATCGTAATAAAAATGTCTATATAAAATATAAAAGCCTAAAAGACTGACTTGTAATAGACTTCCGTTATACAGAGTATTAAAAACAGAAATAATACTTGTAACATTTTGCTACTTCATTTCTTTCCTGCTTTCCTTAAAATCTATCGCGCTGCCAAGCGATTAGTCGATTCGATGACATCTATATTTTTATATTTTTTGCAATTTGTAAAAAAGAAATCTGAAGCTAATGTTTGAGATTTTTATCGTAAACATGAAAGATTATCTATTGCAAAAAATCGCATTTGAGAAACACGGTCCACTTCTGATATTCCCCTTGCGAGTAAAAAGTCCTTAGTAAACACAAGCTAAAAAATCAACTACAATGTTAAGAACTACAAACGTTTTTCGATTTTGGTAACGCGAGTTATATGAGTGCTTCTATTGATTGCACGCGATGAATAAACAAACGAATATTTTATCATATCATTAATACTATTTTATTATTACTTTATTTCCAATAATTGTTCCATGTGTCCTTCTATTTTTACACTGCGTATTCGAACGTTTTTTTTTCATACGTAGAAGCGTGCAATCAGCTGAAGCTTTTTTACACGTTTCTCGTCATCTTATCAAGGGTAATGCAAAAATTTTCATAGTTTTTGATAATGTTCTTTATTTAGTATTATCATAAATGATATAGTATCTTTAACCAAATATTTTCCAGCATTATTTATTACTTTTTGCCATCTTTCAGGCAAAAGGTGAATGCCACGATAAATGAAGTCTGTTCTTAGAATGAATAAATTTATGGACTAATTGTTGCATTTTATCAACATTGCGAAATCGTGTGCCAAAAAGACTGAGCTACATAGAACGAAGTGAGTAAAAATCCGATGGGGTAATATCTGGAGAATATGCCGGGTGTGGTAAAACTTCCCATTGCAAATTACATTCCCATTGCATTAACACTAGTAAGACCGAGGCAGCTAATTTGGCTTCTCGCGAAATTCAAACTGCTATAACTTTTTTCAACTTTGTCTCCACGTGATATCCTTTTGTGACTTTTCATCATTTATCATATTCTTAATCTTGGTATAAAAACTTTTCAATTATGTAAGATGGTTAAATTTTTATTTAATTGTTTACCTAAAAAGACTGTTAGAGCCAGTTTGATTCTCTTACATTTGATATTGCATTCTCACATGTTTTATGAGTTTATTTATAAGTTTTATGATTTTAAATAGATAAATAAATATTTTTATGTGCACCTATCAATTTGTTCGTTTGAAAAACAATTATATAGATACATATGTACACATAGATATACATCTCGCCGTTGGCCAGTTCAGAGATTTTACAATATTTTGTTGCTATAAGTGCATGGATTATCTAATGTTAATAGGCACGAACATTATCTAGAAGGACCGTTGGAACCAATTTGGCTCTCTTATATCTAATGTTGCATTCTCACATGTTTTATGGATTTATTTATGTTTTATGACTTTAAATAGATAAATCAATATTTTCATATGTATCTATCTATTTGTTCGCTTGAAAAACAATTATATAATACATACATATGTACACATAGATATGTATATATAACATCTCGCCGTTGGCCAGTTCATATTTTTTATAATATTGGTTATAATAGTTTGGATTTTGTTGTTATAAATGCATGGATTATATACAAAGAAGTTATGTATAAAACAAATCAAGAAGAATCTTTTTACAAAATCTCGCGGAAGAGTTAAATGCGCCATATGTTGCCCAAAGACGAAAGTCCTAAAATTTTAATACAACTGGAGAAGAAACTGAATCCGACGATGCTTCAGGCAAACGACCATTTTGTCAGATAAAAAACTGCAAAATAAACCATAAAGTTGGAAAATGTTATTCGCGTAAAAAATTTGTATGCGGTAAATGTACGAAGAAAATTATGTACAAATGCCTTTTCTGTAGTACATAACGGCGTTGTACTTCACGTTTAGTTTTTCACTAAAGACTAAAAAAAATTCAATATAACTAACAATTTTTTGTTCAATAAGTTAATGATATTACTGTTAAAACTTTAAATTTTATAATTACCTATATGTTTAATTTCTTTCTATTTGTAATTTACGAAAAGGTATGCTTGGAGCCAAATTGGCTCTTACGATCTTTCTAAAGGAATCGTCAAATCCGGTCCTTCTAATGTTAAAGTTTACTAATGTTAAAGTTTACACTATTGCGCTAAAGTTTACTAATGTTAAAGTTTACACTATTGCGCTATAACACTCAATAAACGATTGAAACGCGATTTGGTGTACACACTCTTCGCGCGTTATCGACTGCAAGCGTTACTAGTACGTACCTTCTTGTGTTAGAAATTGGAAAAGGACAATTCCGACGACGACAACGTTTTTTATTAAGAAGTTTCACATTTTTCACTGTGCATCGTAATAATTCTGATCCTAGGATACGTAGCGCAAAAATAAAACTACTTTCATTATATAATTCGTCCCCAAGCTATCGATTAAGCTTAATGTGAAATCAATCCATTCAGCCGTTATTGAAATCCGATATCGGCGATATTTCCCAATTTAGACACGTCGCGTATAAATACATCCGCCTCGCCGTTGCTGCGCATGAACTTGGCGCGAGATACGACCGTGTCTCTGATTAACCCATTTGCATCCGCAAGCGGAATAATCCGCGCATAATGATCGTCACTTATTACTAGCTGCGGAATATTCCGCGAGCCACGACGTTCACTTATCAGCAACCGCGGAACAATACGTTCACGACGACGTTCACTCTTCGTCAATGATGTGCGTTAATACGCGAAGATACAGGCCGACTGTCAGTTGAACGTTTCAGATTTCTGAAGTTAGTTGCGTATTTAGAGCTGTGATGCAAATGGGTTAAATAAAATTCTTTCACGCGGGAAGATTGCTTGTAGATTGTAGATGGTAGATTCACTCAACACCTCTTTTGATCGTTATATTTGTTTCTGTCCGAAGAAGTAGAAAACATTTTGCACTCCGTCTTCTGTACGAAAAGATCTGTTAGTGGGACGAAAGTATGGAGGCTAGCGGAAGATATAACTCATATGTAAAAGTTCCTCCGAGTGAAGAAATTGTGATTTCCGGTATCGCTGGTCGGTTTCCTGAAACAAACAATATGAAGGAGTTGCAAGAAAATCTCTTGAACAAAGTGGATTTCGGTTCGGACGACAATCGACGGTGGAGTAATGGTAACCACACGAATTATAATACATACTACGCAAAAGGCAAAAAGAAAAAATAATCGAAATTCAGCAGATTATATTCTTAGTACAGAACATGAACGTTTGGAATTTTTATAGTTTATTATGATATGCCAACTCGAATGGGGAAAGTTAATAATGCAGACAAGTTCGACGCGCAATACTTTGATATTTCACCTGAGGAGGCGCATGTTACCGATCCCATGTGCAGGATGTTGCTCGAGCACACCTACGAAGCGATTATCGACGCTGGAGTAAATCCTAAAGAATTGCGAGGGACAAAAACTGGTGTCTTCATAGGATCATGTTACTCTGAAGCGACCAACGAGATCCTTTATTACAAGACTGAAGTATAATACTTTATGATATTAAGGATATGAAAGCAGTTTTTAAACAGCCGAATATTACGGAAAAGAAACTTTTCGGAATAATAATATTACAAATAAACGTAATAATATTACAAATAAATGTTGTACCGTTCTCTTTCAAATATATATTTCTTGAAATATTATAACGGTAACTGTGGTCTTAGTTCCGAAATATTTGATCATGCCGGAACTTATTAAATATCCAATATAGAGAAATGATAAGAACGTTGCAAACATTAAACACTAGATAGTGTTACACGATTAGACGAGGCTATGAAAACAGTTAATTCACATTGACACACACATTGTTTGAGACTCTTTTGTATTATAACTAATAAAAAGTTTAATTTTACATATACATAAGCACGAACATATACATGTAGGGGGTAAGGAAAGTAAAGAAATAAGAGATAAAGACTAATATGAACGTAATTTACTTCCAATTAGGCAGCTGGATACCCAATTATTGGCTGCAGTAAATACTGGTTGGCGAACAGCATTTCTCACTGGCTCGGCCTTACCGCACCATCTTATACCGTGGACACAGCCTGCAGTTCAAGCCACTTCGCTATTGCAGAAGCTTACAGAATGATACGAAATGGAGAATGTGATGCCAGCTATCGTGGGTGGTGTCAACCTATGTCTTCATCCTTATACATCGCTTCAGTTTTTTCAGCTCGGTAAGTGCTTGAACTTGAAAATATGATCATTCATTGTGAAGAGATTTGTGGCTTAAGTGCTATTCTCTCTAAATCTGAAACAGTGAATAGTCGTTGATTGTCTGTAAGTATTCACTAAATGCATTATTAGTGTCAGTATGTATTCGGTTGGCAACTAAGTAATTGCGGATTTTACTGACAAATGACGATAGTCGAATTTTTAGGTATATCTACGTATCCAAAAAGTCAAACCCATATTGCTGTTTGATAGTTGGTATTTCAATTAGCATTCAATAAAAAAATTCGATATCGATCGGTTGTGTAGTTTTTGTTTGGCTGAAAAATTGTTCGGTTGAAAAATGGGAAAAAAAACGAGCATTTTCGTCATATTTTCTTTTTTATTTTCGCAAAAGAAAAAACGCAACGCAAGCTCAAAAAAAGTTATATGCTGTGTATAGTGACAAAAAGCCTTAAAAGAAACGATAGTATACAACATTGGTTTGCTAAATTTCGTCAAATTTCAGTCTATTTTTCACTCAAAGGTCCCAGTGTAAGAAGGACAAGGATATGAAGCAATACGCTTTCTGAAGTACTGTGCCAGGCGAAGCCCGTTTCGATGTAGACCGAATCACAACGCCCACAGAGTAATCGACTGTGTCAAGTGCCGGTACTGGTATAGCACCAAACACGTGAGATACAGAGAGCTTGGATGATATACTAGTAACTTGCAATTGAAAAGTGTTTAAAATATACTTGTTATGTAGAAAACAATGTTTTAAGGTTTCCCTAGAATTATAAAGAAATTTCTCACACTAACACAAGTAAATCGTGCGATTTGCTATATGATACGTAACGAAAATGCGCATTTTTGCAATACGATTGATAACTGGGCGACTGAAAAAGTCTAGATTTAAAATGTCATCGAAAAAAGATCGTCGGGAGACATTTTGTTGGACATTTTTTACCCCGCAAAACCAATACGAACCTAGTTCCAGATTGCGAATGCCTATGACATTCCAACAACTAACCAAACTGAAGCAATCAAGAAAAAAGCCGACCAGAAAGCTGCACAGATCGAGAAAAAGTATGATTGTATCCCACCATGACATCCAAATGTCGGCAACCCCAACGATACTACTCTGGTGTACTCCGGCTAAAAATTAGCTCGGCAGGCTATGGTTGGAATGTGTTGCCATATCCATCATATAGTTTTGACTTTGCACCATCAGATTGTTATTATTTCGTTATTTGCGAAACTTCTTGAAATGTAAAACATTCAGATAATGATTTCGTATTCATAATTCGCTTGGTTCAGTTTTTTACGTATACAAAGCCAGAAATTTAGAACCGTGGACATTATGCTGTCCTGACAGAATGACAAAAATCATTGATAGGAAAATGACGACAAACATACACTGCATTAAAGTTTATTTCAAGTTCCAGAAGAAAATTGCTCCTTTTAATCCTCTTTCTCATTACCCAAAAAAACCGCAATTGACCTAATTGCCAAACCTAAATACTATCTGAAAATCAGATTAAATTCTAGCATTGGTAAAATAGTGAAACTTTCGAATGCTGACATGAACTGTCAGCCCGACACGCAGTATATTGATTCAATCAAAGTACACAAGTCTACCTTATTGATTAGTGTAGAATTATCGCCGCGAACTAAAAGAATAACATCTGCAAAGATTTTGTTTGCGAGATTATGATAATTAAGGTCATTCTAATATAGCGAGAGCTATAGCTCTTATAATAAATCTAGCAAATGATA